ACATGGACCCAGTTATCGACCATGTATTACTCTGTGCGGCGGCTATCCACCAACTGACTTAAATACTTACAACAAATAAACGGTAGGTGTTTGAATGAAGCTGTTTCTTATGCGAATACAAATCGATTTATCAAGTTTTATCTGCTAGGGTTATGAAAGTGTTTGGCTGAGTAGATCGCATCTCAATTTGACCTTTCCAGGCTCTGAAGAAGGCGAAACCGCCGAAACGTCAGCAATTGTGTTCTAATAAATTCTATATTAACAACCTCGTGTCTGCTTATTGATGAAAGACGCCATATTGGTAAGAAAGGCTACTCACCGTGATGTTACGAGTGGGTCTGGCCCACGCGTTGTTCACGTGGGGTCGCGAGCAAGTCACAACCCGGGGTCAAGATATCATTTTGAAATAGGGCGCCAGGTCACGCGTGAGAATGAGGCATTCGTCTTTCCAGTTCATCTTTGGATTTTTGAAATTTATCCAAAACGCCTCAAGAGTTTTGCGCGCTGATGTTTTCGATTCCTGCGCTAGGATCCTCACAGTCACTTCAAAATCATCGCCCTTGTGCTTTTCTGTCCTTTGTGTACCTTGAGGAGTGTTTTGACGGATTAACTTTCCCATCTGGATGTTCTTTTATGCGGGCACAAATTGGTCTGCCCGTTTCCCAAATATATTCCTCACCGTGTGCGTTACATGAGATCAAGTATATTATACCTGAACTAATGTAATCTCCGTCTCTCCCGTTAGGATAGATCTTTTCTGAGCTACACAAACGATCATAGAGGCGGTTGAAAAACAGACGGTGTGGGGTATTGGGTGGGATGTCAATAATCGTTACATAATTTTCAAGACCAAGAAGAAAAGAACAGATGGATGAGTGCTTTGAATTGTTAAACCGACAGTCAGAGTATATAAAATTTACACGCGAAAAACAAACCGAAAATTGGCTTCCATTCCTGAACGTCCAAATGAAACTCCCAGAGAGTGGCTATATAACAAAGTGGTATCGCAAGCCAAGTAGTAAAAACATGCTAGTTCACTACCTCTCCTCTCATCCTTCACACATAAAAAAAGGACTTATCAAAAACATCCGTACTACTAAAAATGTGTGCACAGGAGAAGAGGGAAGGAAGGAATCGCAAAACCTGGCACGAAAAATAGCCATTTCCAGTGGCTACGAAGTAGGAGCCACTCGGGTTAGACAAAAACCTAGGGTAGTTCCCCAAAATAATGTTTCGGACGTAAGTAAGATTACTTTTAAGCTACCCTTCATATCAAATGAAGTAAGTCACGCCATTAAAAAGTGCTTAAGAAAAAGTGGTCTTGAAAATTATGTAACGATTATTGACATCCCACCCAATACCCCACGCCGTCAGTTAGTTCGCAACCGTCTCTATGGTCGTTTGTGCAGCTCAGAAAACTGTATGTATGATCTATTCTAACGGGAGAGACGGAGATTGCATTAGTTCAGGTATAATATACTTGATCTCATGTAACGCATGCGGCAAGGAATATATTGGGGAAACGGGTAGAACACTTCGTGCCCGCATAAAAGAACATCTAGATGGGAAATTCAAAATCCGTCACAACACTCCTCTAGGTACACATAGGGCACAAAGCGCAATGTCGATGATTTTGAAGCAGTTGTGCGCATCCTAGCGCAGAAATCGAAAACATCAACCGGCAAAACTCTTGAGGCGTTTTGGATAAATTTCAACGATCCAAAGATGAACCGGAAAGACGAATGCCTCACTGTCACACGTGACCTGGCGCCCTATTTCAAGATGATATTTTCACCCCGTGGTGTATCTTGTTCGGGATCCCAGGTGAACAACGCGTGGGCCAGTCCTACTCGTGACATTACGGTGAGCCTTTCTGTTCAATATGGCGTCTATTTAAAAGTTTGATCTTCATTAATACTTTAGCCGTTTTTCCACCTAATAATTAAAGTATTTTAATATAAAATATGTCTAGGCTCTGGGGAAGGCGAAATCGCCAAAACGTCAGGCATATACCAACGACAACGACAGCCAAGACCTATACCAACCTCGCATCAGCTAAAGAAAATCGCAATCTTAACCTTTTTATTTAGTGCCTCCTATAATTGTTAACGACAGGGTATCGTGTGAAATACAACTAAGATGATGCTGAGATATCTGCAAAACTGCGGACCGCAGGTGTCTACGGTAGGGAACGAACGCGCTATTGTCATTTCCGGGGAGTAACGCGTTCACCACCACACCATGCGAGTCCTTCGTTTCGCCTGTCTCTCAGCTAGTTATATTGATCGGTGCCATCAGCAATGAAGAAAATCAGTTTATAACATGATATAAATAAATATGTATTTCTTATCTCGCCAGTTGATTCATTTACCTGAAAATATGAGGTAGCCGATGGATATCACTTATCGTCATCATTCTTTTAAAGCAAGCATCTTATGATTGCATGCGTTGCATATTATTCAGCGTGATTTTTGTTTTTGAATACATGCACTGAAAAATATAGAACAGAAAACACTCAGAGATTTGCCCCAGACTTATGTTTTCTTCAACCTAACACGGGCTTGTTAGGACTACTTTTGTTTCGCAGTGGCTGAGGTTTTTGGACTAATCTAGAGAAACCAGGGGCAGCGTTTTATCTCACTTGTTTTCGCATAGAAGATTATTTAGATGGAGACATTACGTTTCGTTAAAGAGCACACACTAAGAGAAAACCTCTACCAATCACGTAAACACGCACAAACATACATACTCGAACGCAAACACACACACAAACACAAACGCAAACACACACACCCACACACACACACACGCCCACACGCACACTCACGCACACATAGTCGCAGTGACGATTTTTTTTCCCATTATACGATCCTCGCATAAAGCTGAAAGGATAGAGCTCTCAGCGTATCAATCCCTGAGGGATGAGCCATGCATTCGACTTCATTAAGTATCGTCGGAGGTGATTGAATGCATATCTGGCCTTTATAATGACCCGTTGTTGCCTACCTATCGAGCCAGTGCTGCAATCCTCCCAGGCAGGTTTGGTACCAATCTACCGACTCCGGAGGAATGGAGAGCTTGGCGGGCCATAGGGGCAGGGATTGATTCCACATATATGTTGCAGGGTGCGCTCCACGCGATGCTCACAATGGTGTCGAAAATACCTGCTTCTGACACTTTTGAGACTTTTTGGATCGAATAGGGAAATTTGAAAACGGTCGATCAAGATGGCTACTTTGAAAATGCCCATTTCTTCGCCCCACTGGGTAAATTTTCTGACGTGATAAAGACACATTCGTCGTCCCATGATAGCCTTGTTGAGATGGTCTTGTTTCTAATGGTTCTTCATTTGATTCGTTTGTATATATTTGAGCTCTCTTATGCTACTTTGAACGTCTTCCAAAACCGGTCGTTTTTGACCCAACTTAATAACAACGTATTTATGTAGTAAGTTACTACTGACCGATCTTGGGATAATTTAATGCCGATCCTGGGAGCGGCCATCATAGTTCGTACTCCTGAGAGCAGGTCACGTTTCGCGAAATCCAAACGCTGGCTGGAAAGTGGTTCCACTAAATATTACATTTGAAGCTTCAGTTTTTCGAAAAATAGACAGTACCAAAAAAGGGAAACTATCTGTAGGAGAGCGTGGGTTGAACAAAAAGTGGCTCAATTCCATCTTCTCAGTAAATGTATAAAGTTGCATGTGCCAATAAAACGACAAGAAAAGCAACAAACAACTTAGTAGCAGCGAACATCAGCAGTCAGTTTCGAAGTCTGTATCATATCATTTTAGTATGCCCAGCTGGTCGATACGGCAGAGACTGTATGAAATTGTGTGATTGCCAAAATGGAGGTCTCTGTAGCCCAATCGATGGAAAGTGCGAATGCCGTCCAGGATGGACTGGTGAGAGCTGTGAGAAATCGTGTGAGCAAGGACGTTACGGAAAGGTTTAGTTAACATAAGTTATCTTCGAAAAGGATTGAGCTTCTTACAGTTTTTTAATACATGGACGAGAACTAATCGAGGAAATGTTTTCCTTTAAGAGGATCTTTCCAGAACTGCTTACAACATTGTGATTGCGCTGATGGAATGCATTGTGATCCCTTAGATGGCGAATGCATATGTCCTCCTGGAAAGCGAGGAGCTAAGTGTGACCAAAGTAAGTGGTTCTAATTGCTTTAGTGTCTAGAAGAAGTTTTACTTCAAGCAATTCTTTCGAAAATTTCAAACTGTAACTACGTGAATACTGACATATAAGTGATACTTGGAGCCCCTGGTGGGTTTTTAACCGACGCTTGTCCTTGAGGCTCACGGGCTGTTCGTCACAGAGTGACTCAGCGTGATTCGTCAATCATTCCCGTTCAAAACGTGATTGCTAATAACATAGAAAAAGTAAAAACTGACCGAGAGAAATCACAATGTTATACCTTTTTTTATTTTTTGCCTACTAATTTCGAGGCAGGATACTAAGCGAAATACAACCACAACGTTGCTGAGATATTTGCAAAACTCTGGACCGCAGGTGTCTATGGTGGGGAACGAACGCGCTATTGTCCTTTCCGGGGAGTAACGCGTTCACCACCACACCATGCGGGTCCTTTGTTTCCCCTGTCTCTCAGCTATTTCTATCAATCTTTACCACAGCAATCACCCGTCAGCGTGATTGATCACCGGGAATCACGCTTAGTACCCTGCCGCTAAATTAGTAGGCAGAAAATAAAAAAAGGTATAATATTGTGATTTCAACTACAGCCGCAGCTTAACTGGGCTCTATGCCGATTTGGGCGCCCCAGATCAATCTCACTGACGGGTGTTTGCTGTGGCAAAGATCGAAAGAAATAGCTGAGAGACAGGCGAAACAAAGGACCCGCATGGTGTGGTGGTGAACGCGTTACTCCCTGGAAAGGACGATAGCATTCGTTCCCCACCATAGACACCTGCGGTCCAGAGTTTTGCAAATATCTCAGCAACGCTGTGACCGAGAGAAAGTTAGAGCAAGAGCCTCGGCTGGTGGGTAGCATGTGAGGCACCGAAAATGGTAGTCGTAGGTTCTAAGCTCAACAATCGTTGGGTGTTCGCTTATATCTCAGCATCCTTGTGGTTGTAGCCACTTTTGTGTCACTCGTTGTTGCCATGAGTGCAACATTACCGTCTTTGTTTCCAGAAGGTTATCTCACCTCGCAAAAAAATTGAAACTCAATTTATCTAAAAGCTTACTTCTTTAAAAGTAAATTTAGACTGCGAGAGTGGTCGGTTCGGTGCCGGATGTCGTGGTATGTGCACATGCGCCAATGATGCCTCTTGTGATGCTGTATCTGGAGCGTGCACGTGCACTCCAGGATGGAGAGGGAAAAGGTGGAAAAATTAGCTCTAACATTTTGGTGATTGTACACAATTCGATATTCGACTACCTAGGTGGCTCCTCTAACGAATGTTACAGTCTTCGGCATATTTTTCACTCGCTTTGTTTCTTCATGATTGTTTCTATGGTGGAGCTGTTTAGAGCATAATGACATATAAAAGTATTGTTCTATGACCTACGAATCGCTTGCCGGTGCGAATACATCTAGTTGACGTGAGCCCAATGACGACTAATTGTCTCGTTTGTCCTAGAAAAAAATCGAATTTTTGCCGATATTCTGCCCTTTCACTCGTCTAGGACATATTTGTGGACAATATGAGTTTGAAGGTTCAAATTGCGGAGCTTAGCGTGATGTTGGTGTGTGTGACCCTACTTTTGCAGAAGACAATGTTCTAGCGGTCTGACCGATCTGTAGGTGGTCCACGAAATTCCGTATATCGACACTGGAGTCAACTGCGATTTGTGCTAGACAAGCCGAGTTCGGAAGTGAAAACTAAAAAGTCCATCATTTGCACTAATCTTTCATTTTGCTCCCCGTGTTCATAGAACGCTCTAGATAGACGTAGTCTGGCTTCTATGCAAATAAAGTCTATTAACTTTTCTGCAGTGCAATATTTTTCCTAGCTCACTAGGATCTTTGAACGTAAACACGACCTTGTTGACACTTTCCGGAAAGTTAACTATTTTGTACGAAAACGAAGGCCTAGGAAGAATTTGCCAACTGTGGACATTTCATTCCAATCGAATCACATCATGCACTACAATGTGACACTTAGCAGCTTTGGCAAGGCGGCGTCGTCTTGCAGAACCTCTTTTAAAGTGATACGTAAACGATTGATGGAAAAGCTGTATTTTCACACCGTAGTTACGTGACCCTCTCAACGGTTTACCATCTCTTCGAGGCTGGGAGGTGTTCCTGGGTGTCGGACTGCAATGTACAGCGGTGGATTCGTTTTACCGGCAGGGTCTCCTAAACTAAGAAGGAGTCTGGTGCTCCCATCAGGAAGCACCGCTAAGGCCCAATACCAGGATCCACCATCGTCCTGGTATAAAACCAGTCGCATGGTGGCAAATATCCCTCTGATCCACAAGGGCTGCGACTGCCTATGGTGGTGAAAATGTGGGACAGACCTTGGTCAGGCTTTCATCGGGATTCCAGGAAACAACAATGGTTTAACCAGCAAATCTCCGATAAATGGTGATTGTGCTGGCGCCCGCACAACCAGTGAGGACGAGCCGTTCAAGTATCAAGGAACTAAGTTACATGACAGTCAGCTAGAGTTCTTACGAAACTCTTACGATAGTTTGTATAGTATTTTTAACCGCAAAATTAGGTAGTATTTTAAAGATTCTATTGCTCACACTTCTAGAAAAGGTGACCTTGCTAGGAGTCCTTCGCCTACGCAGAATTCTCTCTGCTTAACGATATGGCGTCATTTCGGTTATAGCGGGGTGTGCACATAGATTGTGGCATGCAGTATGAGAATTTGGCTCTGTTATTGTCTAATCGTGTAGCTCTGAGTTTGTTCATGTTCTTGATCGCAAGTCAGACTTCACAGCGAAAACTTTGCAATACTTTTCCTTAAACGAGGTTTTGGGATCTGGAACGGAGGTTGTGGAGTGGAAATGACCTAAACTCCTGCTTTCAAGTGCATATCATGGTGAATGGTGATATACTAGCAATCCATTTTCTGCCGTCATGAATGGGTAGCGGAACATGATATTCATAGACATCCTGAATAAATTGCCTTAAACTTGTGTTTTTGAGCCGCTTCTTGTGTTTTTTCTGCTTCCACTGCTGTAAGTACTCTTGCCGTGGTTTCATGTAGCCTGTCAACCATGTTTGGGTGTTGTAATAATACCAACCTTTAGCTCTCTACTCTGAATCAACTATCTTAGTGTTAGACGCATTCTGCACTTTTTGATTGATAAATTGAGTCATGTTTGTCCCTCTTTTAAGATATTGAACGCTCAGCGGATCTCCCTCCATCCAGAAAACCACCGTTTTGAACGACTTATCTTTTCTTCGCTTTTTGAACATTGAATGATCTTCTATTACAACCAACGGCTAAATCAAATTAACGCAATCATTGGATCTAGTGCATGGTTAGTAACGGGAGATGATATTACGGATGTCCATCTTCCATTTGTAAGGATGTGGTTGATCTCCACATCAGACATTGTAGAACTCAATATCTAACGGTAGTCGTCGTCCACTCAAAATCACTTTCACGTGAAATATGCATGGAGTTGACAGTTTTTCCTTATATTGCTCCCAATCGCATTGTTTTCTGCTATTCCACATTTCTTGACACTGTAAGACTTTTACTCGCTTTTCTTACTTTAGTGGCGGTTTACCGAAATCTTCATTGTAGGACCTTCCGTTGCTGGTTGCTTCGTGCAACTGATAGTAGAACGTGTGTAGTTTCTACTCATCAGTTGAACCGTGTTGACTAGCAGCAAATAGTGGTACCCATTCTTTTCCAGCACGAATGCTGAAGACGACAAAATAACAACAGAGGTGGTGGGATCCCGTGTAAGTCCATTTGGTGGGCACTGAATGCGTAGGTGAACGAAAAAACGTCCACTACCAACTGTTAACTGCAACGATGGCATCTCTTAACTGGTGTATGTCATCTTGCTTTTTGTCTACTGCAAGGTGACACCTTCGCGAAATTCGATGTGATCTGTTGCCTTCAAATGAGAATGCAGATAGTCGTTGGAAGAAATTGTTTTCACCTTTCACGTGGCGCTAAACATCCCGTAATACACGATACTTTTGCGGCGCCTCATGATTTGCCACTAAACGTCATTCACTAGAGCGAACAATTTGAATCGTACTCAGGCTGCTGCATCGTTGTTTTATCGATCTGACGTTTTTGGAGGCTGGTTTACCCTTACCTCGTTATCCTGATGAGAAGGTCCAACCCTTCATCTTGGACGACCTTTTTGCTATAAGGGTCTTTCGGTGATTGTCACATTTTACGCCAAAGACCTCTTCCTACGACCACGACAATTTTTAAAATGTTGTGACCTTTTGGGGCATCATGACAGCGCATTAAATAGAGGATAAAGGATAAAGCTCTCGACTTTGATCAATCCGTGAGGGATGCGCCATGCATTCGATTTCATTAAACATCGTTTCGAGGTGACTGAATGCATGTATGGCCTTTGCAATGATTCGCGGTGGTCTGCCGATATATCGATCCAGTGCTGCTTTTCTGCCAAAGAAGTTTGGTACCAATTTGCCGATCCCGGAGGTGTGGTAGGTTTGGTGGGCCGTAGGAGCAGGGATCGATTCTACGTGTGTGTTGCAGTGGTGCCTCCAACCAATGCGCCAAACACGCACTTTTTTTTACAACGCATTAGATAAATAGTTTTCCGGGTGAAGATCATTTCTCACCATTTTACACAAAAAGTAACCAGGTCATCTTTGAATTTAACAGGTCTATTCTTTTTATTTCCCAATGAGTAAATGCGTAATTTCCTTCGCAAATTTACTCAGTCATGACCAAGTCTTAGCTATTTCAATAATTACCGAGCAACACAACGTATTTCGTTGGTACTGCTGAAGTCCGGAAGTAGCACTGATGGTTCAATATATATCGAAATTCTAACGTAATCCAATATTTATTGCAGGTGTGACCGCCCTTGCCCGGATGGGCGTTATGGAAAGGAGTGCCGCTTTATTTGTGATTGCTCAACAACAAGTAAGCAAATCAAAATGACATTTCGTTTTCTGTATTATGCTGTCTTAGTATTTGAATCATAACTTCTGTTTTATAGATGACACCACGTTGTACAATCCATTTGTTGCTCGATGTGACCATATCACCGGTGACTGTCGTTGTCCACCTGGTTGGACAGGACCAGACTGTGCAACACCATGTCCCCCAGGAAGGTAGATCTCTTTATTCCCCGTAGTAATAATAAGATAGGCGTATGTGGCGCAGTGGTCGAGAGCGCCCTGCGACGCACACGTGGGATCGATCCCCGCACCGTTGGCCCACCAAGCCTTCTACCTCTTCGGCGTCAGCAAATCGGTACCAGACTTGTCTGGGAGATTAGCAGCACTGGCTCAATACATCGGTAAGCCGCAGCAAGTCATTGTAAAGGCACTGTAAGATATGCATTCAGTCACCTCCAACGGTGTTTAATGAAGTCGAATGCATGGCGCATTCCTCAGGGATTGATCAACGCCGAGAGCTTTTAGTTTGTTTTAGTCGTAGTAAGTGTTTATTAGATGGGAAGAAGTCAGGTAATAGTGTACGATGTAGTACGACATTTGGTCATCCTTGTAACTAAGCAGTGTCTCCAAGAAGCCCTATTGGATGGGAAGATCAATTGTAACGAAATGGTTAGCGGCGAAGTGTAGCGGTTCAGATCGATGTAGAATATTAGCCACGCGGGTCTTTTAGTAGTTTTAGTTGATCTACCAGCCTCAAACTTGGGTAATTAAACATTTATATACATAAATGAAACAATAATAACATGATAGTAACTATAGAGAACTAATGGTAGAGGAATGGTACATGCCACCGATGGCGTTGCAAACAGAACGCATTTAGTAACACCCGCCACTACTGACATCGCACCGTAGACAAGCTGAGTAACAAGATACAATAATCTGCTGATTACTGAAGGATGAATGTGAGTGTGTGAATGAGTGTGATTGAATAAGAATGAGGATGTGGTTGTGAGGAGCGGATTATCCGCGCTACCGATCGGGGGTAAGGTGAGTGATGGCATGTCTCCGCCTTCGAAGGCACCTGGCTTATATCGGCTGCGGGAGCCGCGAGCGTATGCAACCGCGGTTAATCTGGATTGTTGATCCCGGATCCGCAATAGACTGTACCTAACTGCCTGAATCGCTATTGTTCCAAATGCGGTAAGCTAATACAACGTTGATAAGTGGAGACATCTGGTTACGCCTCCTTCGGATAAGCCGTCGTCGCTATGCTACTGAAGTCAAACCTGAATCGCTATAGTGCCTGAAACATTGAACATAATTGATCGAGAAGATTAGAAAAGGTTACATTGCGGTGTTTGATGTGCGAGTGCGAGTGCGAGGAGGCCATATATGGACTTCAAATACTATTATTTAGATAGATAGAGAATTTTCCAAGGGAGAAGCTCTCTATACCAATAGACTTAAGTCTAGTTAGATGTTTTACCATTTTGTAATCTATAAACCATCGGGCAATTCATTTTTAAGAAGTCGGACCCCACTTGCATCTATTTCTTTAATCATTAGTTGTCCTATTGATCGCATAGATAGAACCTAGGAGGATGTAGAAATCAGTGGTTGGTGGATACGTTCTTGATTAAGATCTTACACGGATCTTTTGTGATATATATGTATAGGTGCATACATATATACATTTAAATCCTGTGAAAGACATTAGTTTTCAACATATAAAGCATCCTTTTCGGGTAGAATAAATCAAATGTGATGGTGAACACAAGGATCAGAAATAATGAATTTCATAAGCTTCAAAAGCAATGTGTTGTTTAAGATCAACAATTAAGGTGGGGATCTGGATGTAACGGTCAGTGCGACTGTCTTAATGGCGCAACTTGTGATCGTCTCACAGGTTTCTGCGACTGTCCACCAGGATATATGGGACGAAGCTGCGAAACAAGTACAATAATTCCAATTCATAAGAAGTTATTCTAAAATATTCTTCCAGTTTTTGCATGCATATTTAAACTAATATCAGCTTGTCCGGCGGGTCTGTGGGGAGCAAACTGTATTCACCACTGCCTTTGCATGCATGACGGTAGTTGCAATCCGAAAACTGGCGAGTGCACGTGTGCTGATGGCTGGACTGGACCTGCCTGCGAGTTTTGTGAGTTAAATTGTATGGTTTTATAATGTGTTATGAGTCTACCCGATTACAATATTCAACGCCATATATTTTTATCCCATATCCTGTCTTGAAAAATGCGATTGTGTGACCTCGTGAGGAGCCGTTTAGCACAAAAATAATGGCGCTTTCAGCAAAGTCTTTTCTACAAGCATGTAATGTTCTCCACTAGTCTTTTCCTCCACTTGGTTTCTAGTGGCGAAAATTGTTGTCAGTTCTTAAAAAACGGTTTTCTACAAATGTGTTTAATAAGTGATGTGTTAGAATATGCATCCTTTAACGTATGCAAATTCACTAAATAAAGAAGTGAAGTCACTACTGAGGCTGTGTGCTTTACGGACCCGAGAACAACTTCCATTCGCAAAAATACTCTACCCATTAGAGCGCTATTATTGGAAGCCTTTCAAAGAAATCAGAAAAGGAATTTAGTTTACAGCATTTTGTTTCGTACCGGAAAACAGTGGTAGACCTAAAAGTGAAGAGGAAAATGTTTTCTAAAATATTTTACTGGTAGAGATTTAAGTGTCATTTAAATCAAAGTATTTCTGTGAAGATGCGAGAACTCTACTGCATTTACTGTTGGACTCAAGAGGTCTTTGAAATATTGTGTAATGTCCACAAAAGCACTGTTTTCCACTGCTGATTTTTTACCTTTTAGTGTGTCCGTTCGGACAGTACGGTCTGAATTGTGCACTGCGCTGTGATTGCCAAAATGGTGCAAGCTGTAATAGAACCACAGGTCAATGTGAGTGTCTACCAGGTTGGAGAGGTGAAAGGTGTGCGATTTTTTGACCACTGCCACTAATTTTAACACTTATATAAGCCTCAACCTAAGTCTGATGATTCATTGATAAGATCTACGTTGTTCCTACCTAGTGGTTTGGCTAGCGCTCTCAAGGCGCTAATAACAGAGACTCAAGCTCCAAAAATTATTCAACTCCTTCGATTTGTTGGATATTGAACGCTTTTCGGCTTTCTTCTGCTTAGGATTTCTCTTCTGCGATTATTTATCTCCCACTATAGGTGGCCTTTTCAGAGCATTAACCTCGAGTGTAAATTATTACGTCCTGAAATACACCACATTGTCATTCAGTCGGAAAGGGGTTATATTAGAAGGATATTCCAGGAAGCTAACTTTCTGGTTTAAGTTTGCAACGTTTGTTTGTCAATTAAAGTTTGAGTAAAATAACGCTGTAAATGCAACATCGCCAACGCAGTAGATAACAAGAAACTGTTACATAATAACGAACGTCGTCTGCTTGGACTTTGGATTGAAATGGAATAAATTTATGGCGTTAAAATAATTGAAATGTTATGTAATGAGTACTCAGGATTAAGTTATGGTAAGTTGGCTAGATGACTGTAGTGCTTTGCAATGAGTTGGGCACTTTAGATTCAATTCTCTTGGTTCTTAAAACCTAAACCTGTTTTACCCTGGTCCGTAATGGATGTCGTCTTCGCGATTCTTACGGTCGTTGAAGCCAGGAACAATGTCATAAAAGCTTGCAACTTATTCGGTAAACATTTTGTAGTTTAAATGGAAAGCCTAAGACATAGTAACTCCCACGACCGACTTTCTATTAACCTCGGCATTGATCAAGTAATTCTTCGTATTTTTGTTGAGCAAACGCGAGGTGTTATTATTCTTTATTCACAAATGAGCTGACGTTTCGGCGGATTTCGCCTTCCTCAGAGCCTGGAAAGGTCAAGTTGACAGCAATCTACTCGGCCAGACGCCTCCATAACCAAACAAAGAAACTCTAAACCAAGATTTCAATCACATTGAACACAGCTTTGCACACTCACCGCTTTCTATGTGGTCTCCACTAAGTATGTCACGTAGAGACCAACCGCACAGAAATCACATGGAAGTATAATGTACCCCACTCATCAGAATAGCAGTCTTATATACTGCCCTACATCACGCGTGATAATGAGGCATTCTTCCCTGCTGTTCATTTTCGGATTTCTGGAATTAATCCGGAGTGCGTCGAGAGTTTTTCGCGCCTGTGTTCTTGCTATTCTGATGAGTGGGGTACATTATACTTCCATGTGATTTCTGTGCGGTTGGTCTCTACGTGACATACTTAGTGGAGACCTCATAGAAAGCGGTGAGTGTGCAAAGCTGTGTTCAATGTGATTGAAATCTTGGTTTAGAGTTTCTTTGTTTGGTTATGGAGGAGTCTGGCCGAGTAGATTGCTGTCAACTTGACCTTTCCAGGCTCTGAGGAAGGCGAAATCCGCCGAAACGTCAGCTCATTTGTGAATAAAGAATAATAACACCTCGCGTTTGCTCAACAAAAATACGAAGAATTACTAAGACATAGTGTTCAATCGCATGGTAAGATGCTTTGCGGACCTTACCACTTTCCCCGTTCAGTTTTTAGGAACTGAGACCACCTAAAGACTTCACATAATTACTGTCTGCTTCATGTCAGACTATCCGTTTGAGAGTCATTCATCCCAGCTGTTTATTTTGGGCTTTATTCAGAAGGCTACAAGAGTATTGCGAGCTAGGGTCAACAACTTTCATTATTATACCGCATATCTTGGGTGTGAAGCACTGAATCTAGCATATTGCCTAGATCAACATTATTTTCCGTGTCATATGAATCTTTTGTCTTAGTCTTTGAAAAGTTTTGAGGATGAATACTCTCAGAGCTCAAATGAAACAGGACAAAAAATAGCAGAAATCGCTCCCAAAGAGCAGACAAATGTTTGTATCTGATTCGCGTCAATGGAAAACCAAGAAGACCGTCAATGGAACAATGTCAAAAACCCATGACCGACTTTCTGTTAACCTCGGCATTAATTGATAATTCAATGTTTTTCATCAATAAGCAGACACGAGGTTGTTAATATAGAATTTATTAGAACACAATTGCTGACGTTTCGGCGGTTTCGCCTTCTTCAGAGCCTGGAAAGGTCAAATTGAGATGCGATCTACTCAGCCAAACACTTTCATAACCCTAGCAGATAAAACTTGATAAATTTGCTGGATAACTTGATAATAAAAATTTATCAAGTTTTATCTGCTAGGGTTATGAAAGTGTTTGGCTGAGTAGATCGCATCTCAATTTGACCTTTCCAGGCTCTGAAGAAGGCGAAACCGCCGAAACGTCAGCAATTGTGTTCTAATAAATTCTATATTAACAACCTCGTGTCTGCTTATTGATGAAAAACATTGAATGTCAAAAACCGTTTTTGAGTTCTGCTCTACGGTCACAATTTTACCTCAAAATCTTCGCCACCATACTTTTATTACTTTTTTAATAAAAAATTAGTCAGGTTTTTGAATAAAAACGCACGCGTAGACCTAGTAAAATTTCTTGTTAAAATGTTGATTCTAGGTGTTCTTTTGTGCGAACACAAGTTACTATGTGAGCATATCCTGTGATATGTCGATTGGTTGAAGTAAAAGTAAAGGATTCAATTTTCTAGATCTTAGAGTGTCAAATATAGGAACTTCTACATACAGATGCGAGAAATCTTGTCCATCTGGTCACTTTGGCGCGAACTGCGAAGAAGTGTGCGAGTGCGAAAACGGAGCGCAGTGCGATCCGATCAGCGGGCACTGCTCCTGTCAGGCAGGATGGAGGGGACGGAAATGCAATAGGCGTATGTTTGTCCATTATTTAATCGAAGGTTTTTCGAAAGTTTTAAGTTATTTTAAAGGGAGTAGACAAACAGAGTGAGAAAATCAAGCCCTTTTTTTAGTGGCATTATAAGTAAGACAGGATTCTTCTGCATGAAAACACTTAAATCCAGCAAGTATGGTTTATAGTACCCACGACAAGCTTCCTTCGATTCCCTTTTCCAAACCTGTATTTCTATTTTTTTTAATGGATGAAAAAGATTTGTTCACGTGGGTGAGATGTCAAGAATGCGGCCAGATTGCAGTGGTGGGGGTCAATCTCGTTCTACAAGAACTCCCTATATCTCTAGACTTGCCAGCTTTAGATAAAAAGGAAACAAATCTCTGATCATAACAAGTGACGTGAAGATGTAGAGCTACTGGAGGAGTGCTGGTTTCGCTTCCAAATGAAATTTTACGCTTCTCTATTTACACGAAGGACCAGTTTAAAGAGTATATTCCCACAGCGTATATTTCCATCTCTTTATTTAAACTCTAATATTTTACATTGATTTGATTTATTTACTTTTATTTTACACGATCCGTCTTTAATATCTACGTTGCCGAACCTAGCATTTGTTGCACTTGATTTGTTTCCTCGTATCCATCCTCAACGAGGACCTCCCAACTATTTACGTGTGGCTTCGGTTGCTGCTTGTGAATTTTCCTTTCATCATGGATGTCGTTCAATGCTGGTTGAGTCGATTCTCCCTAAAGTCCTTAGATAGCTAGGCAAGAGCGTTTCCACTTGAACTGCAGAGAGTGAACTTTTCCCAGACAAGTCTAATATCGATTTCCCTGCCATGGAGGTGAGAGGAGATTCGTGACCTCGGGTTCGAAGCTTACACTGTGCTCGTGATGATCGCCATCACTACCACTGCGCTACCAGCCTCGTTTTTTACATTAATTTGTATTCAAAATAAGCTACTCGAATGAAGTTGAGAAACAAGCATATTGAAGAGACCTTCCCTTACAATTTCAGACTAAACGTGAAGAAAGTAGAATCTTATATAAAATTGACGTTGCATTTTGCTATGGAATCGTAGATGAGCGCCTAGGGCAAAACTATTTTCTTGAGGAAGGTGAGAGTTTTAAAAATGACAAGTCTCGGGTCAACTCACTTTTAACTATGCTATTTTTTGGAAGAGGTTTTTTGTGCGGCCCACTGACAAAGGTCGTAGGGCTTGCCAGAAGAACTTTGCCGATGGGCACAGAAGGAGTACTGCCAAGCTGGAAAATGTTTAGCATGTGGCATACTATGTGGTACAGCGAGACATACGATGACTTTTGTCTTACAACACTCATCGTATGTCTCGCTATCCAAAAGTCACTTTTTCGAGTGCTCAATGCCTTCTAGGGAAAAACTCATTACTTTAGAGGTCTTCAATTTTGCCACTGCAGCATAAATGAGCATATTTTCCATTAGCGAAAATTCTGCTTTCTAATGGTTCCTATTTAGTTTAAAAACACTTAAATGTGTTTATCTAAAGTTGTTGTTAAAACTCCAGGAAAACATAGTTTTGTACTTTTGGCTTGGCTGAAGCGGTGAATGATGTTTAGTTTCCAAACGCATTTAGTTATACGTGAATTGAGTCTACGATCGAACACTTAAAATGTATTGCTCAATATATCGTTTAGACTTTAACAAATATCGGATTTAGCGTGCCTGAAGGGTTATTTCGGTCGACATTGTGCCCAGACGTGCCGTTGTATGAATCAGAAGCCATGTGACCATATTACTGGAAAATGTCAGTGTCCAAAAGGCTACACTGGCTATGGGTGTACCGAGGTTTGTCCCACTTCTTATTGAGGATAGTGTATCAGCGTAATAATGTTTAGTAAAAGAAAGACTTTCACCAAATGAAGGTAGAGTGGTCATATCATAGGAGAAGTATTTCCGTTCTGTTTTGGTGTCAGTTAAATTTTTAGTTATGCCCGGAAGGAACGTTTGGCGATGGATGCCGCCAGAAGTGCGGATGTGGAGAAAATAGTGACTGCGATCCGATTAACGGCAAATGCTTCTGCAAGCCAGGCTATTTTGGCGATGGATGCAAGAGCGGTCAGTGTGTTATCTATATCTTAGTTGCGAATATAGTTACAAAAATTTTTATTCTGATACTCTCAATGCTTTTACGTACTAAAAAAAATTACTCGACACTTCCGCTTACTCTTCTCTAGAAATACTTTGTAAAGTCACAATGTTGACTTTTTATTTACTCCCTTTCACAACTTCTTAAGGCAAGGTATTATTTGCGAAACAACCACAATGATGCTGAGATACTTGCAAAACTCCGCACTGCGGGTTTCTGCAGTGGGGAACGAACACGCTATTATCCCTTCCGGGGGATAACGCGTTCACCACCACACAATGCAGGTCCTTCACCACTGTAGACACCTGCGCTCCGGAGTTTTGCAAATATCTCAGCATCATTGCGGTTGTTTCACTTTGTAAATTGTTTTTAAACGAACAGAATAACAGTTTGTTTATCCGAAAAAGAAAATGAAAACCACTTCTCTAGTGATGTTTTTTGGTAGCAACTGTCTTCCTATAGCATCTTGTTGGTGTAGTAACCAAAAAAAGGTTACATACTTCAACATTATTCGAATTCAGCTGCACTGGATTTTTTTGAGGCCACTGAAGAATTGTCCCGTATTTACCTAAATGCAAATCCTGTATGCATCCAAAAAACCCAGTAACTATTTTGTAAGTACATTTTTTGCCTTAATTTGCACAAAATGAAAGGCTGTCTCAGAACAATAGGCCATCATAATTATTCCCTAGATATGTTTCACATCTTTATGGACGTACGTAAATTTAAGGGGTTAGTACGTCTTTTACCATAGAGAATGATACTTTTTTACAATAATTTGTGCAAGATAAAGGGTTGTATCGGAGCAGTAGGCTAACTTCATCACTTACATTATTGCCTACGTATGTTCCACAGATTTATGGACGTACATTGAGCTCAGCTGTGTATTGGCTACGGCTTTTCCAGGCTGCGCTGAGGGACGGTTCGGACCAGAATGTAGTGAGCTATGCGATTGTGCTAATGGAGCAGTGTGTGACAAACGAGATGGTACATGCATTTGCCCACCAGGATTCATTGGCACGAAATGTGATACGCCATGTCCAGCCGGAAGATATGGAGAAAAGTTAGAAAAGATAACTTATTTTGTTCTATATGTTACACTTCTTGCTAAATATACTAAAATTGAGCGATGGATCGGGAGGTGGCCAAATTTTAAAAAGAATGGTTAACGCAGCTTCCCCATTGACTATATTTTCCACTAAGGAGAAAAGCAACGGCAGAAGGAAAACAGCGGCCTTGCTTAAAAGTTCCTTCAATTATTTTGAAGAAAAAGTGCATTGTGTCAGTTATATCGCCTGATCATGGAGGGGATCGAGCGGGCGCTAAGAGCAGAGTGCTTCTCTTTTTCTCTAATTGTCGCATTTACCGAGGAGTAATTGCTGTTACCTACGGCGCTAAATTTATACGTCTTCTCGTTTGTGCGATGACGTCGTTTGTAATTTTCTTGGCTTTCATCATCTAATCCTCCATAAGGGATTCAAGTGGTAGTGGTGCATCAGCTATAAGTACAGACCACGTTAGTCCGCCTTCTTGCACTTGTCTTATTCAATGATTCTACATCGAAGGTTCTTCTGGAGTGATGCGTTTATTTTACTGTTTTTCGCGGCTTGACACGCTCTGCTAGCTTGTCCGTCACGTAGCATTTGGCTGAATATAATTACCAACTTTGTCGTTTTTCCCATAGTCCACTTGTGCCCTATTTATTAAGAGGTCACCTATCCATCTCCCATGTACTTCTCAATTTATTGAATGCGGAGTTTTGACCCGAATGAATTGTAAAATATAACGCATTCTGCACATACGTGAACACATTACGTATATATGTATGAATGTGTCTACGGAAAAACGCTACATTAGATAGGAATGAAAAAAAAGGGAGTCAATTTAATCCATTGCTTGAATCGATCGCTTTTAGCCCGTGATTATCTCCGTCCCCTATTTCTTTCCGCCGTATGGGCCGCGTAGCCTTGCGATTATTACAGAGACTGAAGATAGCTCAATAAGGGAGACCCGTAGGATGACAGTGTAATTCGAAAATTTAACAGTTGAAGGTATCTGAAACAGTAAGTTTTTTTCCTTGTGTTTTCAGTTGCGAGAATGTGTGTTCATGTGAAAATGGTGGTACGTGTGATCGCCTGTCAGGTCATTGCAAATGCTCGCCAGGATTCACAGGATTGACGTGCAATCAAGGTTGGAATTCCTTACTGTTTTTCCTTCATAAAATGAGTAAACTATTTGTACTGTAATTCTTTAAGGCTTGATTGGTGCAGTAGATGTTACTGCTTAATCATAAAAGCGTATTATAAAGTAAAGTTATATCAAGTAATAAATGAGTTCGAAAAGTTATAACCACATTTCCTGCAATCATGATTAACACTAGAATTTGGCGTGGGATATTCACTTATATGGGATGTAAAACAGCAAAGGCAAATTCGTAGTTCACTTTCTTCGTGGTCGCATTGCTGCCCAGAGGTTTTTTCCTATGTTTTTAAGTGATAGCTTACCCAAATGTCAGTCGCTGTCTTTAAAACACTATTTTCTACGCCTAGTAGTTAAAAAGAAGCTGGGGTGAAGAGTATTGTTAATACGGAGAATAAACACCTTAGAGACTGTTGTCGTTGATGAGAATACAAGATATCCCACTAAAGGTCATCATAGGCTAAACATCAAATACGTTAGGGCCATTTTTTTGCTCTTCAATAAGGTGGTGAAACATTGAGAAAACTCGTATAACAGTCATTTCTATGTAGTTTTATACTTGCCGATGCGTGCACTATTTGTTTGTAGACGTTTTAGGCGCTCATTCATCTCTTTCCACGTAATGTGTCTTATTTCTAACTCTTATTTTCATAATATTCTTCTGACGTCATTGGCATAATGCTCTAACAAATGTTTTCAGTTTTCTATTTTACAGTCTGCTATGCTTCCAATTTACAACGTTTACATTGTACTGTAATATTTACAACGTGCGACTTCTTCAAACTGTGGAGCGGTAATGTGGTATATTCCTAAGCAGTGGAGAGTAGAAATCAACGTACCACATAATATCGTGATGACATAAGGGAATAGGTGCATTCTAGATGCGTGTGTCCTTGAAGCGTTTCCTTTGCTTGTACCTTTTGACAGCTTACAGTCTTGATGAGCTGGCGAGAACAGTCACGTTATGTATCCTAGACATAATAATTTACCTCTTATCTCCCCACTCCATTTCAGCAACATCATACCTTCTCGGTTTGCTTCAGCTTCAATTGTCTGCTCTTCAGCTTATGGCCGATAACCTAATTGTGAAGTTGTTTCTTGTTCTATGTCAATCAGCTAGCAACAGTCTTTCAGTCAAGAAAAGCGCCGCATGCCGTTCATCGGAATATAATTCTCTTCTTTGGACCAAGAAATTCGTGCAACAACAGAAAACAAAGAATGCGGCACAGATGATCTTCCACGTGTAGCCGCCTTTAGTACACGCCTTGAATTTTCTAGTTCTATACTTGTGCTTTTTGTGTGGTATGTACTGTCGGAATACTACTCCTCATGCGAACTTCACAAGGGAATCATCGACACGCTTGTTTCTGTCAGCACTGTAAATACACTAAGATTTTGTTTTCAAAAGAGTTATAACTCGATCTTTTACAGTGTATCTAGTCTATTGTAGATTACATGAATTGTGGACAAAGTGCTGATGGATCAACAGCTTCACATATTTGTCTCTTGCAGGCTGAAGACTGTTGAGAATTTGTGACTTTTTCTGAATAGGGTGCTATGCATTGGATCGGAATCCCAGTAATCTCTTTCGAAGTTATACTTTTTGTGCAATAATTCATCCTAACGGTGGTTTACCGCCTCATCATGTTCGAGGCGTTCCACTAAGCCAGCAGTGAACTTTTTATCATTGAAATAAAAACAAATAGAGTCCATACATCTTTGCCAACAATATGTTTTTTACGAAATGCTTGATGAAATGAATCTCTGGTTTTTGGAGTTCGCAAGACGGAAAGTCTTCCATGAAATTCGTAATTCGAACCACAAAGCGATTGAACAAACGATATTTTGAGGAAGCAGGAACTGCCGTTGTTTCACAGCGCATTACTGATGTTTGCTACTGTCCTGCTTACTTATAAGACTCTAAACTTCTGAATTCCCTCTTTTTCTCATTCCTTTCCTTCATTCTTTTTCGAATACTAGAGCTTTAAATAGGGTTTTGGAAAGGAAAACAACACTTTTAAAATGTTGTATGCATCCTTAACCATTTCACCACCGCGGTCACTTTCTCGTGGTTGGTCGGCCCATCGGACGGCGTCACTGGAAAGCACCTAATATGCGCGTTGGAATCAAAATGCACGGTCCGACACGTACAGTAGCGGGCGCATTGAAATCAATGTGCTAATAATAAATATTATAACAATCGTAGTAGTAATCACTGGCAATACCAAGGTCAACATTATTAGCGTTGATAATGGTGATCATTGAATAAATAACAGTAGTAGTGAGAAACAAATGGCTGTCCAGACATCCGTGTGGTTTTCTAATAGTTAGTGATACATTTGATCTTAGCATTTTTATAGCTGCCCTTATCTATTAACAAAAATTGCAGTTTGCCCTGACGGCCGTTGGGGACCAGGATGTAAAGAGAAATGTCGGTGCGCCAATGGAGCACATTGTGATCCAACTACAGGAGAATGCAGGTGAGGGATTGATTCTATTACTTTACAAGCGAAAGAGCGAGTGGATACCGGGATAACCATCGATTCGGCTCTGTTTCATGTCAAGGATTTAAGATTTATGTGAACGACTCCAAGCACTTAATAGCATCCAATAGACATTACAATGAAAATATGCCGAGACTTCATAGGGAACTTATAAGTTGTAACTTTGTGTAAAAAAAAAGTCGAATATAACGGCCTTCCTGCTTTCAAACTGTAAAGCACTCTCACCAGTTCGCAGTAAATATTCGGAGTGAAAGAACGAGAAACACTTAAAATGTACTGAATTTTTGGACATTTAGTAATTTTCAGGTGTAATCTTGGTTATACCGGGACAACTTGTGAACAGAGCTGTCCATCTGGAAAGTACGGTTTGAACTGCACTCTTGATTGCGAATGCCATGGAAATGCCCGGTTAGTGAAACCTTCGGTAGCACTTAACTTTAAATATATGCAGACCTTGAACTTATCATGATCTAGCCTTTGGTATATTCAGATGTGACCCTGTTCAAGGATGCTGCGATTGTCCACCGGGTCGTTACGGGACTAGATGCCAATTTGGTTAGAGATGATCTTTTTACCCAATCTGACACAGTCTCCAACTTCTTGTCTGTCGTACCTACTTTTTTAGTATGTCCTGAGGGTTTCTACGGTTGGTACTGCAGTCAGTCGTGTTCATGCCAGAATGGTGCGTCTTGTGAACCAGGAGATGGGCAGTGTTTATGCCCTCCAGGATTTGAGGGAGACCACGTCAGTGCTTATGATTCTCTTACTTTTTTAACCGTTTGTGCACTTTCGTTCTTCACGTTCGTTTTCAGTGTGAATCATCTTGCAAGAACTCCACATACGGGCCACATTGTCAGTTGAAATGTGACTGTGGAGACTATCCATGCTCATCTCGAGACGGTACATGCCTATGTCCTGTCGGCTTCAGTGGTCCAAAATGTCAGCAAGGTATGGTTTTCCGCAACGATTTATTGATTTGTGGAAAAGCTTTGTATATTTGCGAAATTTTTATCGTTTATATTTCCAACACTAACTCTTTATTTGCTGCCTAATATAGTTTTTACGGTAGGGCATGATGGGAGATTCAATCACAATGATGCTGAGATATTTGCAAAACTAGGACTCCGGGCTAGATCGAACCACTTCTATTTCCGTGGGCTCGCGGGTTACACACTGCGCCACGGTGGCCGTTGCTATGCGTTGCTCTCAATTAGTTTTTACCTAACGCTGCCATCAGCAATCAGCCATCAGCGGGATTGATTCGGCGGGCCCAAATCAGCACCGAATTCAGTCAAGCTGAGGCTGTAGTCGAAATCATAATGCTAAGCTTTTATTTGTTTTCTACTATAGTTTTCACGGCAGGGTATAATGTGAGGTTTATCCACAATGGTGCTGATGTTTATATTTCCGTTTAGTGTTAGTTTGAGTTACTAAAATTTGTGCTAAAAATTTCTACACTCCCATATAAACCATGCCATGAATACTTAAGATATCACCAGTGACGTTATTTCCAGCTTATTAACGAGTGAACGCCGACGATGCGCTTACATTCTCAAGTCATTGAAAAGACGTGAGAATTGTACTAAACAGTTGCAAGTGTAGTTTACATGAAATATTTGAATGGCTAGACAGTTTTGAGGCAAAGCCAGCTTCTTAAACTTTGCCAAAATCGTTTCCTAACAATTATATTGCCATTTGTAAAAAAAAGTGGCGGTGAAGAGACCTAACACTTATGGTTTGGAAGAAGAAGGAATCTTTAAGGTTTTACGTCTAGGATCAGTCAACTTTTTACCGGTATTTTTTCTTATTTCTTATTACTTGCCAGATTTGTTTCAATGGTATTCTGTAGATTCTCTTTACAGTATGCCGACACGGACGATATGGTGAAAATTGCCAAAACAAATGTCAATGCTACAACGGTGCAACCTGCGATAGGAAGACCGGCAAATGCACTTGTGCACCAGGATATTTGGGCCCTACATGCCAGCATGAAGTAAAAGGTGCGTTCACTTTGGTGTACAAGGATAAAGCTATCTGCGCCGATCAATCCCTGAAGGATGCCCGATGCATTACTTCATAAAGTATTTGTTGGAGGTGATAGAATTCATATTTCGCCTACACAATAATTTGTGGTAGCATAACGATGTATTGAGTCAATGCTGATGCAATCATACCAGGAACTACTGATACAATTTGCCGACCTCTAAGGGATAGAAGAATTGTTGACTACATGGCGCGAGATCGAACCAACAAGCAGTTGTGTATTGTTAACCGTAGACGACCTATACAAATTAGACCAGCCGAAGAGATTCAAACTGCCTAAATGTGGAGATTTTCACTTTTTTGGGGTGGGGAGGGGTTGCAAAGGCACTCAAGGGCTTTCTTCCCATTCCCAAGTCTTTTAAATTTCCTTGAATTTTTAACACGCTGCTGGTAACGCCGAAATTCCGATAACTAAGCGCTGTTAATCCAAGATATTGATTGTTCCGACTTGAATTTTAAATTCGAAATAATATTAATAAAGTAGGGAACTTTTAAAATTCAGTACATTCACGGCAGCGACAAAAGTCACCCATCGGTTCATTTTGGGACGTTATCACATAGTGCTGAATGGAATCCTGCTTTTCCAATCGCCTCACCTTCGAGGTATAAGGATCGAAGAAAAAAAAAGGCGTTTCAGCGTGATTAGAAATTAGGATCATTCTAAACCCTTTTTTTTCATGCAGCTGGAAGCCCGAAGAACAACGACGAGGGACAACTCCATCTTTTGTCCTAACAATGTTTCGCTGTGGTATGTCGCAGACTTGGTCCTAATGGAATTCGCCTTCAGTCGTTCTTTACTAGCGTCTATTTAAGTGGCACAGAAGAACGTTCTACTATTTATAGAAAATTGATGTCGGATTTCAACCTTTACTTCTAAAGTGGCATATCGGAATAAACCTCATCAATTGAAGTAAAAACCACTAGAATTCACAAATTTTTGTCAATGAGAAACAAGTTTCCTCACACCATTTGCAAAAAAACACGGACTTCTTAAGGTCATTGAAGGCAGTTTCGGCTTCGTTTTGGTTGCTAAAGCTTTTCGCACAGGAAGTTGCTGATACGCTTGAAGGAGTGGTAGCCGGTAGCGGCGAGCTTGATGGATGAGGCCGAGTTTTGTAGCCCAGCTCGTTGAAGTTTTGCAGTTTCCGTAGTGCGACGTGTCGCCTCGCGTTATCGTGTGGGAGGATTGGTCCCCTTCTGCGAACCAATGCAGGACGCAGCCGTTAATGTTTCCGGTATATTTTGCCGATTTACTAGACGCACTTCTCCACCACAGTTGCTCTCCTCGGATTCAGGATGCTGCAATACACGGACCAGTTGTAAATTACCAATTTGTCAGGGCACTTCGACTTTCCAATTTTCTCTAAGTGCTCCAAAACTGTTGATATGTCTATGACGAGTCCTTCTGCAAGTTCTGAAACTGTTGTGCATCTATTTGCTAGCGTGGAAACCTTCGACTCACCGTCGTTAGTAGTAGAAGGACGTCCGCGACGTGCCTCATTCTGAAAGTCGAATTCAACACGGCGAAATGTGCCAAACCAGCACTGCACTGCCCATTCGTTAAGATTTCGTTAAGGCCATATATCGATACCGTTTCGAACTCTTAGCGCGGCACTACGTTCGAGCATGAAAAAAGCCATTGCTGGAAATATAGAAGATTATTGAAGTTGGAAATCCGACATTAATTTCTGAGAAACGTATTGTTTGAAGACACAGCTTGGAGTACACGGTATTCCTCCGACATTAAATTTTCTTTCTAGCTGATTTTTTCGGCACCACTTAAAACCGTACGAGTTTCTAAGACAATCTGTGGTGAACGAAATTGTTGGTTTACGGTTGCGCCTACAACTTTCAAGAAAATGTAAAACATCTGCAGCTTTCATTTTCTTTCTGTCATTATTTGAGACCTTTTCTTCAACGCTATGTTCAAATCGAGAAAAAAAATTTCGCCAGTACTTCCAGACTTCTCACTTAGAAAAATCTTCATCATTTACTCAACAAGTCTTAGATTCCAGATCCAAACAGTGTAGCAAAACGAGGTGATCTCCCGGAAGACTGGGAATGGCGGGCTCGTCGGTAAAACTTCCAGTGCACTTCATGCGTCTTTGTGGAACTACTTGCTTTCGTGTGCTTTTTTTGTTTTTATTTTAGCTACAACACTTGCCAGCCTAAATCTTTCACGTCAGAATCTCAATGTTTCATTGTTGTTCTGAAAACCGAATATTGTTGTGCCGTATTCCTTGAGCCGAGTGTGATCTGTGTTATACTTAGACTTAAGTCATTCTCTCATTATTTTTAGTCGATTCGGTGCTTCTAATAATGTATTTTATTATTAATTTTTTCTGACCGCTGACATATTTGACAAACACAAGCATAATAAAATTGAAAATTTCGCATAGTACGATATTACCACTTCACTGACATTCCCTAAGCCTCGATCTAAATAATCAATATACGTCTTCGGAATGCTCAGCCTACATGAAGTTGTTTACGAGTTTTATTCGACTAAAGCTCCCACGCCTTCGTCTTCTTCTTCGATTCGGGTTCAACCGGCTCTGAAGAAGAAGACGTTGAAATGTCAGTTGAGTAAAAGCTGTATTAAACCTCGGTTAAGCTGAACAATCTGAAAAATACATTATTTTACCAGTTTTTTTGAAACCACTTTATTAGAAAGTTAGCCTCGCAATGATACTCGAAACAGCGAATAGTCAAAAGATGAAATATTAGCAGAAAGAGAAACCTGAATAATCGGCATAGTTTTGACCTCTCGATATTCCCAGTTTGAGAGAGAGTCTTTCCGTCCTTATGGTCTCCATGAATCGCGTCTTTATGTATTACATGCGTTTATCCAGTCATGAGAACCTGTCAGTCAGCAAATGCTTGATATTGGAAGAATATAATTGTACAATAGTCCTCATTTTTGATAAAGAAGTCATCGATGGCTATGCAAGCCCGCCAACCCTTCAGATTTGGGTGTAGGTTTGCATGCTGAATGAGGATTTTTGCACTTTATGAGTATAGAATGCTGGCCGAAACGGTTCTCCGTGGAATGTTTTGAGAACCGTGCTACAGCATTCCAAAATCTTCATCCTGGACGGGTACCACCTCTTGTCCCTTTGGGGAGAGCAAAGTAATAACAGACAAGTTCGGTATTCTCCGACACCGGAGGATGGAGACTTGGCTGACCAATTATGGCTATAGAACGAAATACTGGAACTATCAATACTAACACCGGACAGCGCGGTGATAGTGATACCGATCACCACGTGTATGGTGCTGGTTTAATCTCTCCCGCCTCTCATTGCTCCGAGGCCCGGAAATTGATGGAAAAACTTCTCTAGGAAAAAGTTAATTCTTTGCAATGCAAGTGAGATCGCTCTAGTCTGGCAATCTCAGGACTCCAGAGATAATCGATTCAACCGTTCAGCGACACTCGTGATGAACGGAAAATTAACAAGCAGCAGGGGAATCTATACGCAAAAGTTAGAAAACCTTTGTGGATGATGGATACGAGCAAACGAATCCAATCCAAAAGTGCTGGGTTCCGCATGGTCATGAAAGATGGGTCATGTAACGTAAAAAATACCAGCAAGATATAGTGACACTGTTACATTACTATGATTTAATGACAAGAAACTTTAGTTCAATTTCAGCAACTTGAATGCAACTGTATTTCAAAATCAAATGTAGCTTGCTCATTGCTATGTGAAACTAGACATCTTGTGAGCTAGAGATATATTTTGTAGAGAACATCCCTGTGAAAAAACCCAAACGTGACACGCAACTAACAAATAAAGTGGCAACCTGTGGAAGAAAATTCACTAGCAGAGAAGAATGTTGACCTTACTTATTAAAGTTTTCTGTACACTTTGCGATTTTAATGGTAGCCTAACTTAACCAAACCTTCATAACCATCGCTTTATATTTACAACTGGTAGGCATTATACTTATAGCTTTACTCCTCTTATTTTAAGAAAGGCACTCCCTCCCTCAGATTTTTCCAGAGAACCTGTTTGGGAAATCCTCTATTCTTCTTTCATATGCCAAGACGAATCTCTTTCTACAAACTCTTACCCGAGGAAACACGCGTACATCAATATTTTTCAACCCAACCGTCATTTAACCACGACACAAATAATCGATACGTTTCTAGATTATTTAGCTAACATGAGGTTAATGAAAATGTTTATTCGGATAATATTTCGAAGCCTTCGCCTTTCCCAGAGCCGATGATCGGAGTCAATGGACCACAGTCATTCGTGTTCTCAATGTGGTGGCTTCGTCTATGTATTGAAACGGATTTTCTCCAGTGGAGGACCGCTCGACCAGTCATATTCGTATACCAGTTACTGGCGACCAGGTCGCATCTTTGATTCAACAAATCTTCCATGAGTTTCATAACTTCCTGTTCTTGAGTCTTCTCTGCCAGCATATATTACAATGTTATCACTTGTCAGCAGCAGTCCCGTTGATCGTCGAGTAACTCGAGCGGGTGCCAATAAATCTTCCATTTTTCCTTGTCGCGTGCAAGAGTAGCCCAGTGGGTTCTGCTCGCTCTAGAGACTCGTCGAGCATCATATCTTTCTTCTAGGCTCTTTGTGAAGAACTCTGGCCATCGGGTCGGTGGTCTTCCAGCAGTGCGTTTGACATCCTCAGGAATCCAATCACGGCTTTTGTACATCGGTTGTCATTCATACGCATTACGTGTCCGGCCCACTTTAACTATTATTTATTTATCGATTTATTATTTATTATATTTATATTTATTTATCTGAGGCATTAGTTATAATCACAATCTTAACCGTTTTATTTACTGCCTACTCTTTTTGATGGCAGGGTATATTTAACCTCAGCTTAACTGGGTTCATCGTCGATTTGGGCTCTCGAAATCAATCCCGCTCACGGGTCATTGCTGACGGCAGAGATCGATAAAGCTAGCTGAGAGACAGGCGAAACGAAGGACCCGCATGGTGTGGTGGTGAACGCGTTACTCCCCGGAAAGGACAATAGCGCGTTCGTTCCCCAGCGCCTACACTTGCGGTCCGGAGTATTTGTAATATCTCATCATCATTGTTTTGTTTTAATTTAGATTTACCGACTAGGTGTTCCTTTATGCGGAAGCAGAGCGGTCTACCCGTTTCACCAATTTATTCGTCCCCGCACGCTCTACAAGAGATCAGATAGACTGTAACCGAGCTCATGTAATCACCGTCTCTACCGTTAGGGCAAATTATGCAGTTTTCGTTGAACACAGACGGTCATATAGGCGGTTACAAACTAGCATGTTAGAGTGTCTAGTGGTATTCCCATCACTCTAACCGAATTCTCTAGACCGCCTCTTGTTAAGCAAGGTTTTACAGCTGAGCTTACTTCGTTTGAAATAAAGTGAAAGGTGAATGGACCATTATTCTTTCTAGAATTATCGTTTCGGGGCGTGGTTTTCCCTCTATGCTTATGCCGAGAAGCTACAGTTTCGTAACCATTTGAAATGGCTATTTGGCGCGCCAGTTTCGAGGGTTCTCCCCTTTGCTCTCTACCTGTGCACACTCTGGAGGCGGTTTGAAACATATTGCTTAATTCCAAAGATTCAAAAATGAACCGCAAGGAGGGGTGTCTTGTCATCACGCGTGACCTGGCGCCACACCTCAGGCTAAACCAATGACCTGACACAGGTACAGTCCTCGCTCAGGTATTAGTCTGTGCGGCTGCTATCCACCAACTAACATAAATACTTACAACGAATAAACGGTAGGTGTTTAAAAGAAGCTGTTTCTTATGCGAATGCAAATTTACTTGTTAGGTTTTATCTAGTAGGGTTATGAAAGTGTTTGGCTGAACAGATCGCATCTCAATTTGATCTTTCCAGGCTCTGAAGAAGGCGAAACCGCCGAAACGTCAGCTCCTGTATCCTAATAAATTCTATAGTAACAACCTCGTGTCTGCTTATTAAAGAAGAACATCGAATTGTCAATCAATGCCGAGGTTAACAGAAAGTTAGCCATGGGAATAATTATAATGATGCTGAGTTGTTTGCAAAACTCCGCACCGTATTTGTCTACGGAGGGGATCGATAAAGAAAAATAAAGCTCTCGTCGCCGATCTATCCCTTGGGGATACGTCATACATTGGACTTCATTGGACATCGTTGGATGCGATCCTGAGGCGCGGCGATCGATTCCATGTGTATTGAGGGGCGCCTCCGACCACTGCGCTACACGCGCCTTTGTGGGGACCGATACTTCACATGGTGCCCTACCATTCATCATGCGAACATTGGAATAGTATAATATGAAGTGAAAATCGACAGTCGGCAGTTACACCATCTTCGCTTTGCTGATCACATCGTCCTTATAACATCAAACATTAGCCAGGTGGAACGTATGCTTGACGACTTTGATAAAGCCTGTGGTAAGATTGGTCTTCGACTAAATCTCACAAAAACGATGTTCATGAAGAACGGATTGGTTTCGCATGGGCCAATAACGCTCAACGGAACGTATATCTCTGAATGCTCCAGTTATATCTGTCTAGGTCGGGAAATCAATATGATGAACGAACCAGCTCCAGAGTTGAGCAGAAGAAAACGAACGGCTTGGGGAGCCTTCAAGAGCATCGAGGATGTAGTAAAGAGAACAAAGAAGACCCGACTCCGTGCCCACCTTTTCGACTCAACGGTACTTTCTGCCCTAACGTATGCGTCAGAAACCTGGTTGCTGCTTAAGTAGGATGAAAGATCACTGAGCGTTATCGAACGCGCAGTCGAAAGGGCAATGCTAGGGGTATCCCGTTCCACACAAGTAAGGGATGGGATCCGAAACTCCGATCTGCGTCAATGACCAAAAATCAAATATGCCATTCTGTACGCCAAACAGTCGAAGATAAGGTGCACCGAACACGTAATGCGCATGAATGACAACCGATGGACAAGAGCCGTTAGTGACTGGAATCCTCGGGATGTCAAACATACTGCAAGAAGAACACCGACCCGATGGTCGGAGTTCTTCACAAAGAGTCCTAATGAAAGATATGGTGTTCGACGAGTCCCTAGAGCGAGCAGAACCCACTGGGCTACCCATGCACGCGACAGGGAAAAATGGAAGATTTACTGGCGCCCGCTCGATTCACTCGACGATCAACGGGACTACAGGTGACAGGTGACCCTACCATTATAAGAGAGCAGGCTGTAAATAAAAAGTGACGACATAGTGATTTATGCCACAGCTCCGGGTTGACTATGTTCAATCCCAATTTGTGTTCACCAGATCAATGCCGTTGACGAATGATTGCTGGTAGCACCTACAGATCAATAATACGGATGACAGAAAGGCGAAACGAAGGACTGGGATGGCGTGATGGTGAACGCGTTAGCCGCCGGAAAGGTTACTGGCGTGCTCGGTCCCAACCGCACACGCCTGCAGTTCGAAGTTTTGCAAATATCTCAGCAAGATTATGTTCGAGTACGTTTGCAACTGTTGTGAAATTCTGTGAAAATGAAGTAGTCACTTTTGGAGTGAATGGACAGAAAGGGAAAGGAGTTAATAGAGAGAAGGAATAAAACGACAAACATGTTATTGAGCCTCACAGGCTGCAAAGCCACCAGGAAAAAACACGTACTAAAGAGTTTTTTGGTTAATTACTATATTGTCATGGATCACGCCCAGCACAACGTGTGTGTTCAGCCAGTTATCGATTTGATATAGAATGTAACAAAGAAAAAACCTTTACGGCAAAACAAGCAGCCCGGAAGAATACGCATTGGGTCCAATGCAGCGTACCACGATGCATCCCTAGCAGTGCGTGCCTCCCCTTAGGTGTCAACGCTACTGCTTCGTTTGAATTAGCCGAACTATTCCATGTGTATTGTGCAATTACAGCCCAGTATTCCGTTGTACTTGAGCTGAAGCATTTACCAAGAAGCAATGTGATGAAGGCGCTGGCTCGGTATGCATATTTATTTACTGGTATATTAGTTTTTGTATGGTTTTTACACAGTGAGTATTATGAGGACGCAAATAACCCAGTCCCGCCGTTAGCGTTTTCGTACGATTCTCCTTCCATAATGCATTCCACGATTGACGAAGGGTGGGTTGTTCTTTATCCTTTTGGAACTTTGCTCTTTGAATCGGGAAAGATGCTTTATTGATTTAGGCCTACAGAATGCACCATGTATACCTGTTTCGATTACAAAAAATGCATGTCGGGTCTAAGGGTGTTCGTCTATCCGGACGTGAAGGACTTGGTCCCATCTGAAACGTACAGGAAAATCCTTAGCGTCATACGAGAGAGGTTGTGAAGTAGTTATTTTTCAGTTTTCCGGTAGCTTCGAATCATTTTCTTTCTTATCGTTTCGGTTTTCCTTCCAGTAAGCTCACATTGACACAGGACGCGTTTGGCGCACTAGTCGGAGGTGCCTTGCAATACACATGGGATCAATCTCCGCGTTCAAAGCTCACCAAGGCTTCTATCCCTGCGGGCTCTGAAGATTGGTACCAGACTTGTCTGGGAGAATAGCAGCACTGGCTCGATACATCGGCAGGCCACCGCGAGTCATTGTAGAGGCCAGATATGCATTCAGTCACCTCCAACGATGCTTAATGAAATCGAGTTTATGGCGCATCCCTCAGGGATTGATCAACGCCGATAGCCTTATCCTATTTATTAAGCTGACATTCGTTTATATGCATTTTTGTTAAATTAGAATTTGAATGCTGTGTAGGTTTGGACTTCCGATTTGTAAAGAAAGGATTATTTTCAGCTTGTATTAGGGTGCATCTCATCTTTTTATTGATAGGGTGTCGTTTGCCACTGTTTGGTTCTATTGAGGGAATATCTCAGGTCCCAGGTGACCCTCCAGTTCACTTCAATTTTTGCGAGAGCTCTTTTAGCCGATATGCCGTCTCTGATCTTAACGAGGCTTGCCTTTACATCGTCAGCGTGGACACAATTGACAGAGATAAAATCAGGTCTGAACTAGATACTACGATTACTATGAAGTTATGATAAGAGTTTGTTTTGCGGGTAGTCATTTTGTGGAGGCTACCTTAAGTATCAATTCTTGCTTTTCGAGGAACGACAAGCAGAGTGCTCATTCTCTTGAAAATGTTCAAAATTCTGTGCATCCTTTGTTATATGGTTATTGATTGAAGATATTTTTCGACTATTAAAAGCTCGTATAATGATGCTGAGATATTTGCAAAACTCCGCTCCGGTGTCCGCAGTGGGGATCGAACACGCTATTACCCTTTCTGGGGGCTAACGCATCTATGAAGGTCTCATTTGAAGAGATATTTTAATCGATAGCAGAAAAGTCGTAACCTGAAAAGAAGCCCGTTTATCGTGTGTACTAAGAGTGGGTCTTGTAAGGCTTAGATGCTAGCATTATTTGTTTTTTACAGCGAAAACTACGTTCGGAATGTTGACTGGTACATATCTAACCTTCCTGCTGACGTTTGGAACGACGGTACCAATCACATAATTTTTAATTTGTATCACGGAACGTTTCCAGATTATTCTGATCACAACCTGGGTTTCAAAACTGGGAAAGCAATGATTGCTCGCGCATCGCCTAACATCCAGGTAAGAAGTGATCCTTCATTTTTGTTAGAAAGAAGAAACCACTAGCCATTACAGAATTATCGCTTTGACTTCGATGTATCTTTCCCGCTATTTCATAAAGAGCATCCAATACGTAGTTCGTTCGAAGTAAGTTTAAATTTTGGGTACCTATCTGAGAAATTTCGAATATGAACTACTTGGATGCCTGGTTGGCCCGTCTTCACTGGTTGTGCGTGCCCCGGCATAATTTCCATTGTTATGGAATTTGCTGGCTTAGCTATTGTGGTTTCCTGGAGTTCTAAGGTGAGCCTAGCTAAAGTCTGCCCAGGTCGTCACCACCGCAGGCAGTCGTCGCCCTTGTGAATCAGAGGGAGATTTTGCACCGTGCGACTAGTTTGATATCAGGACGGTTGTGGATCTGGGGAGCGGTTAACTCTTAGCTGGGTTTTCTGATGGAAACGCCGGAATCCTTCTCAGCTTGGGAAACCCTGCTGGGATGAGTGCCCCACTGTACATCGCAGTCCGACATCCAGGAACACCTCCCAGCCACGATGAGGTGGTAAACCGTTGGGAGTTTGTTCGAGTTAAGTCGTAATTTTGATTACTTGGTCGAAAATTAAATTCCAAAGCCGAAGATTCGTAGATTCATGTCATTGCTATTGTCGATTCTTTTCTCGTGCTTGTTGCATTCGAATGCGTTCGGTTATTGGTTTAGTGTTAGTTTGATAGTGCTTGTGGAGCTAAGTCACTTTATGGGAATTTTTGAATATACTCTTCTCAACAAGATTCGTTTTCAGAATGCTGTTTCATTTAAAACACGAGATCAGTACATAGTTTCCTTCAAGGGAAAACGATACGTTTATGGTGAGTACAAAAAATGACTAAGTAATCACTTATATTTGAAATTATGGAATTACTTATCTTTTGTTCGTGCTGTTATATGTGTAATTTATTGTGACTTATGCGTCCTAAAAAGGGCTCGTGTTACGCATTGGTCGCAGGCGCCCTGCAATACACATGGGACTGATCCCAGTGCCACAGGCCCACCAAATTTTCCTTCTTTCCATGGTCGAAAAATTGGTACTAGACCTATCTGGGAGCATAGCAACATTGGCTCGATACGTTGGTAAGCCACCGCTAGTCATTGTGAAGGCCAGATGTGCATTCAGGTACCTTCGACGATGCTTGATGATGTCGAATGCGTGGCGTGTCCCTCACGCGTTGATAGATACCGAGCGCTTTATCCTTTCATTGTCTCCTTTATGCGCTCTTTATTTCTAACGGTAAAACGATTTCAGGGATTGGCTCAGAAACACGAGATTCTTTGCATCATTTACATAATGGAGAAACTGTAGCTATGGTTACAACTTGTCGACACAACAATGACTGGAAGGTCTGTGCTTTTAGTTGATCACTGTTGTTAATTTAATGAATTTAGGAATATTACTTACGTTTTGACCATTAACACTCTTAATTTATACTTTTCATTACAATTTCTTATAAAGGCTATAAATTTAAATCAGCCCACCTCTCAATTTTAACATAAGTGGGCGGCGCTGGAAACACTTTAGTATTCCTAAGGCGTTGAATTTTCAACATTGTGAGTTCATGTTCTAAGTTATATGCATTCAGGCCCATCAGGATGCTAGATGTGAAAGGGATAATGATGCTTATGACAAGTAAGTTCTAATCTTTACTGTTATACTTCTACTCCATTTTCTTTAATGTTTCTATATATGTTGATGGTATTAAAGTTCTCATTGTTATTGGGAGAAACCATAATTTTGTAATTTTCCGATGGGATTACGAAGCTATGATGGCCAATTCTACGTTCTGCTTAACACCAAGAGGAAGGAGGTTAGGCTCGTTCAGGTACAGTATGCGTGGGGAACTATCTGTTTAGATGTTATGTTCTTAACATTGAAATACTTGTTTATTTAATTAGAATGGCGCCACAGGTTTCTCGAGGCACTGCGATTTGGGTGTATTCCTGTTGTGTTGTCAGATGACTGGATTCTACCATTTGATGAAATAATTGATTGGTCAAACGCTGTCGTAGTAATACCTGAAGCCGATGTTCTTCTGGCAGGTTTTTGTGGCAGCATTTTAGTAAAAGGTTCAGTTCTCCGTTAGATTTGTTCTGGCTGACTAATAAACATAACGTTTCAGGTACCAGATATTTTGTACACGTATACACCACAGGATATATTTCAAATGAAGCAGCATGGATTCTACATTTACTATCGTTATTTTAGCAGTGTTGAAAAAATAGTGATAACTGCATTGCAGGTTAAGCTTAGACCATATTTCTATTTTCTTAATAAGTTGCACCGAACCGAGGTGAAAATAGTGTTGCATTATTCATTTGACCTTGGCTAATATCCTTTGAATTTAGCCTACCGCATACAACTAGAAACATGCTGTTTTGTTGTTTAACGGGTCTCATTTTTGAACAACGTCACAGCAAAGCTGCAAGCGGGAATGCTCTTAATCTGGATTTCAATTTTATGATTGTTAGCTCAATAGAATATCATATTCACTTCACAAAAGTAGTCATTGGTTCGACCCCGCAACCCATAGATGGCCCAATCCGTTCGACACTGCTAGATCGGCAAATAATCACTAGCTGTGACTAGGAGGATAACAACATCGGTAGGCACCTGAAGGTTGTTTTGTAGGGCGTGTATTCAGTGATCTCTAGGATATATGATAGAGTCGAATACATGTTGTTCAAGGCGTGCCTAGATGGAAGCAACTATTTGTTTTAGGCTATTTTCGAAGCTATTTGCTGCAACTTGTGTGGTTTACAATGAGCTATTTCTGGCGGGTTTGTTCATTTTTCTCACGGCGAATTGACCGTGAGGAATCTATCGAGATATTCGAGCACTGAGACGATGGTTACACAAATGAAAAGGGTAGTAAGGTCTAATGCAAGAATACGTTAATTTGACAACTGTGGAATAGTTTCTGTTTATTCAGTAGACACGAGAAGGAAAGGATTTCCGCAGGAATATGTAGAGAGGTTTACATTTTGGTGACTCTTTCGTAATTCTTTCATAATATGGTAGATCTCGTCACTCTGCTCATCAGGAAAAGTATGCTCATCGGAACGAATAAGATCATGTGGTAAAGTTGTTATCAATAAAATGTACATATTGGCTGCTCTTGGTCGATATCAGGCAAAGAAGTGGACATCTGTGGTAGAAAAGCTATCGAATAAATCTGAAAGCTAGAAGAAGGAAACTCTGAATGGCACTAGAAACAATCAGAAAGAGAACGCATTAGAATCACTGTACGTAGTTCGTTCTCCCTATCTTGTCCCTTGTGCGTGTCATCACTGCTGTATTAGCAGGAATCGGTTCCAATAAAATGGTGTGAAATGGATCTACTTAGCATCTATTTGTATCCAGTTGATGTATATCAATATTGTTTAGATCGTGTGGGAACGAGTGAGAATGTCGCAAGCTCTAGAACGTTCCCGTTGGAATCATTTACACCCCTTTGATATATCTTCTACTACAAAGGAAGTGACCATTATTATCAAGGCGAGCGAGAAGGCGTCGTCTCGGCTTCAGAAACTAGTTTTGAACACCTCGAAATTGGACAGTTTGCGTCATGTAGGTTTCGATTTATTAAGCATTTTGGACGTATACTAGGACGGCCCGTCCTCACTGAATTTGTATACTTCAGAATCATATCCTTTTTTCATGAAGTTTTGCTGGTTTATCCATTGTGGTTCACTAGTGTCCCGAGGTCAGTGAGGCCAAAGTCTGTCCCAGGTCTTCACTACTACAGGGTGTTGCCTTGCGGATCAGAGGGAGATTTACCACCATGCGACTAGTTCGGAGACAGGATGGTAACGGATCCTGATAATCATTTACACTTAGCTGGGCTTCCTGGTGGAAAATGCCAGACTCGTTCTCACCCTGGGAGACCCTGCCAGGAGGAGCAATCCTCCCACTGTACATCGCAGCCCGACACTCAGGAACAGCTCCCAGCCACCATGAGGCAGTAAACCGTTGAGAGGTATGTATATGTTTTATTTTCTTTTATTTTATATGACCCATCTTTCTACATGCGGATCCCAGTACTTCTCGCATTAGATTCATTTCCTCGCATCCATTGTCCAAGAAGATCTGTCAACTTTTACGTGTGGGTTCGTTTGCTGCTTGAGGGTTTTCATTTCATCTTGAATGCCGTAGAATACTGGTCGAGCAATTCTCCCTGGAATCCTGAGATAGCCGAGCTGGGGCGTTCCCAATTGGATTGCAGAGAGTGATTTTTTTCCAGTTAGGTCCGGTACCAATTTGCCGACCCTTGAGGGCTGAGAGGCTGTGTTGGCCGGGAACGCGATCGAACTAGCACCATGCTCGTGATGACGGACGTAACTGCCACTGTTCCATCTGCTCTTGGTATATATACACATATCCGTATATATATGCATATATATGCACATACATATGTATGTATGTAAATATATATAACCCCAACTATTTCCCGCCTAATCATGGCTAGGAGATGTTCCTGGGTGCCGAGTTGCGAAGTACAGCAGGAGATCCATCATCGCAGCAGGGCCATGCTGAGTCCGGCAATTCCATCAGGAAGCCCAGCTAAGAGTAAACTAATATCAGCAACCACCACCGTCTTGGTATTAAACTAATCGCATGGTGGCAATTCTCCCAATGTATATGTATATATACATATATATATACATATAGATGTACACATGTATGTATATACATATATATACAATATATTCTTACGGACTGCCCTTGTTGAGTTGATGCAAAGTTGGTATTATTGTTGTTGTTGTTCGATGACTGATGCTTCGACGACGTCTCCTTTCTTAGACCCTGGACTTACTTAAGGTAACGATACCCTTATATTGCGATGAAATATGTATAGTACTACTGGAGATCTAACATATAAATCGATGCCATGTTGTTTTAAAACTACTCACTTTGTTCTTGCATGTGGGTTACCCGTGTGTTAATTCATGTAGGATGACGACGGAGACCCACACAGGTTCAGAAATCAATTTGAGAAAATGCGGTCACGTGTGAAAGCGTGGCGTTCTTCTTTCCATTTCATCTTCGGGCTGTTGAAATCTATCTAAAATGCTTTCAGATTTAGATTTCAGGTTTTTCTGTTGAGGTTATAGAGGTGTTTCGCTGATAAGACTGCAATCAACTTGCCCTTTTCGGGTTTTAGACAAGGCGAAATCCGGCTGAATGTCAGCTGTTGTAAATAGAGAAGTAGTACAACGACAACGCTGTGCTTGCTCATTAAGCAGCCAGTAAATTAATTCAGTGAAATTCTCACTGTCATTCATTTGTTGCTGGCACAGTGGAACGAGAGGGGCATATATTACAGTGGTTAGAGGTGCCTTGCAACAAACATTGGTCGCTAGTTCAGTCCCGAGCCCACGACTAATCAAGCTCTTGATCCCTTTATGGTCGGCAGTTGCTCGCATAGTTGTGTATGAGAATAGCAACAGCGACTTGATACATCGGTAGATCACGGTAAGTCATTGAATGGGCCGAATATGTATTGAATCACCTTTAATATGCATGATTGAGTCGAATGCATCTCATGTCCTTTGGGGATTGATCAGCACCAAAAGATTTATCTTTTGCTCTTTTTATTTCAAAATATAGTATTTAAATAAGCTGACGTTTTTCAAGAATATTCTCTAGATCGTCATACTGTGGCCGCATTCGCGAGGAGTTCCGCCAATAGGTGCAGATTTTGGTGTAAAAATCCTACTAGAGTTCATTGAAATCGATGATGGGGTATGTTTTTTTTCTTCGAGATGGACTACATTGCGCTAGTAATAATGGCATATATGCGTGTAAAAATACTTCCTACTTTTCGTTGAATGATTTAAATGAGCTATTAGCTACTCTATTTACCCTCGACTTTAAGTGCGCGCTCCTATGTGGCCGCCAGAGTGTTAACGTGGACCAAAAGCGACATTGTGCTTCCGTGAGAAAAATTAAGGTTCAACAGTTGAACTGTTTTACTGTGTTGACTTGACATTGCCTTTTGTCATGCACGTGTGAATGCGTGTTTGCATATGTGCAGATTCTACTCTGTAAGTCAATTCGGTCAAAAGCTTGCGATCAGATGACAAGAATGAAAGTTAGAACGAAGACTCCTTGCTTGTGAAGCCGTTTGAAAATTCTATCACACGTGTCTTTTCGACTTTGGTGATGCTCCAAGCGTCAAAGTTTGGCTGTTGAACCTTTACATAAACAATATTAATGACACAATAACGAGGTAGCGGAGTTAACCATTGTACAAAAAAACGTATGAAGCCAATTTAAACAAAGGCGGAAGCTCTATACAACCAGTGCGTCCCAATCAGTATGTGGTGATCTTTCGTAAGCACTACAGCGATTTTTTCAGCCATTCCTAGGAACTCCACGTAGTAATTCCCAAGACCGACTTTCTGTTAACCTCTGCATTAATTGATAATTCAATGTTTTTCATCAATAAGCAGATACGAGGTTGTTAATATAGAATTTATTAGGATACAATAGCTGACGTTTCGGCGGTTTCGCCTTCTTCAGAGCCGTTTATTTGTTGTAAGTATTTAAGTTAGTTGGTGGATAGCCGCCGCACAGAGTAATACATGGTCGATAACTGCCGGACACAGTATTACTCTGTGCGGCGGCTATCCACCAACTAACTTAAATACTTACAACAAATAAACGGCTCTGAAGAAGGCGAAACCGGCGAAACGTCAGCTATTGTATCCTAATAAATTCTATATTAACAACCTCGTGTCTGCTTATTGATGAAAAACATTAAATTCCTAGGAACATTATGCAAAATTGGAAAAGGATAACATGGGAGCTTGCTGATGATATCATTCTTATAAGGTCAGGGTACTGGCTAAAGGAAAGGAATGCTTTCCGGCTCCCAGAGTTTCTGCCGTTGGGGAAAATGGGTTATCAATCGTCTCTTATGGAAACGATGTTCTTGAGGAAATAATTTCTTTCTTATGGCTTATTAACAAATCACGCTGGATGGAACAAATATATCCGGATGTTCCAGCGATCTATATCTGAGATGTGAAGACAACATGATGAACAACTTAGCTCCAGAGCTAACCAGAAGGACCTGAAGGCTTGAAGAGAGCTGTTAGTGCCATGGCCTTAAAAGTATGCCAAGGGCACAGGAACAGTTTCACGGATGCGATGGTAGTAATACTCCATGAAAATCCGATAAGAAAAATATGACTGTCAGCGAGTCCATGGAGTTCATAGAATTAACTGAGCCATTTTTCTATATGACAGGGGTAAATAGAATCTTCACTGGGTGTCCGCCTAAGTCATTCGACGAACATCGGGAGAGACATGGTGCAAGTGATACAGTAGACGCTATAAATTTGATTTTCTAACATTTACAAAGGGACTTGGGAACAACTATTTCTTAAAAGTAATTCTGGAGTTTGATACACAGTTAGAGAATTTTGAATGGGCTTGCTTGCAAACATATGCCTCACCACACCTGTTTTTCATTAGCAGAGGCGTACAGACACTTCCGTTTTTTTTCTTCACAGAGATTTTCCACGTTTTTAACGTTCAAATTTCATTCACTTGGTTACGAATACATTCATGCATGAGGAAATGATTTCAGCTTCCATTTTGGTGCAGCGTTTTTCTGCATGAGGTCTAATGTTTTGTTCCTCTTAGCTTTCCATTTTTTCTTTCTTATTGAGTGATTGCATGTATCCCGCTTTTCTTATGTTGTACTACGGTTGGGAACTACTTGAAAGTCAAGTAAATTTGCAGAGTATTGACACTGTTCTCCTTCGAGAAAAGTGTAACACTGGATTTGTTGTATTCGTTGACGAACGTTCGAATCCAGCTTTATCAGAAGTGATAACCTTATTGGAATACTCATATAGGAATCCTACCAGGCTCATAGGAGTGCATGGTCTGGAGTTTGACGTCAGTTTTTGGAAGCCTTATTTCTAGCAATTTTAAAACAATATATCCATCCATTTCCTTATTGCTTGAAAAGACGATCTCATTTATAATGTTTGACTTTGGCAGATATTTCCCCATTACACAACAAAATGTTGTTTTAACAGCTGTAATTACATTGTCGTCGAATTTTTCTTGCTTAGTGGCAGACTGCACAGATCTCAGTGGGACGAGTATACAACAGCGTATTCTTTTCAATAGCTTTGTTTCACAGGTAGGTTGTTGCTGTTCTAGTGTTTTTGGATGGTTGTTTTATTATAACGCTTAGAGTCCCACGCTTTATTTCTTATGGCTGCCGCATCTAGCTGACGCGTACTTTTTTTTTTACCACACACGCTGTGAATTGAAATGGCCTCATGCCGACTAGTCTATAACACCGTGTATATGAGTGAATATTAAGTCGTCTCGAACTCTAAGTGTACACTCATTCGCAAAGGGTCAACCTTTTACAATTACCAATAAATTTTTGACAATTCAAGTACTTTAAACGTTAAAGACGTCACAACTTCAAAGAGCACCCAGTGATCGTATTTCGTACGTCGAAGCGGTTTAGCAAGCGGCATTCCAACAGCGAGGTGTAATGGTTTCCTGCATGTATCCCGGGTGTTTTCAGCTGGCTCGCAGCAAAAATTCTGAGCATTTAAATTCGACTTCAGTTTTTTCGAAAATTTGAGGTTTAGGTTTGAAAATTTAAAAATGGAAAGTTCAAGAACAAAACAACATCTCAGAGAAATAGCCTTGACGTGAAAAGTTTTGTCATCTCTAGAAAATTAAAATTTCGTCTTGGCGGAGTGACGCCGCTTGTAATTTGTTGACAGCGATTTATTGACTTTCCCTTAAATTATTTTATATCACTATGAACTAAGACATTTGTTTGAAATTGGAAGGCGCAATGATATCGCTGTGAATTATTGTAAATGTGTTAGTAATTTCCTTACCAGTAGTTTTTTTAATCTTTGATTGCTTAAAAGCTTCTTTGCTGGTAACATTCAATATTATAGCTGGTATTTCGGGGAAAGTGTTTCACCTATACCGCAAGAATTATGGGACGAGTGTTTGCCTGCTGTTCTTAATGTCGTGATCACTGAACGGTCAATGTTGCCACCAATGGTTGTTGGTAAAAGAAGACAGGAAACTTGGCTGAGGATTGACAATGATGTTGTGTGTTATCGCAAAGTATGGTTTTTTTTTCATTCTTTGAACTCGTCGAGAACGTGGGAGTAAATGATAAAGTTATAACGAATTTGCTCACTTTTAGCTCGCTCAACGCTGGCAAGGTGGTGTGCCTTTAATGTACTCCGATCTTCGATTTATCTAATTAGTTTCGAGCAGTTAATAATTTGGCAGTGATTCTTTCCTCTATCATGAAATCTGCAACTTTTATTTTTGTGATCTCGACGTGCCTGTCATTCACTTCCCACAAGCTCGAAACCATTTTATATGATATTGTTTTTATAAATTTGAAGTTTTAGTGATCTGTACATTTTGTTATGTAAACGGTGGAAGTAAATTAGTGTTTAAATAGTGGACGTTTATGTAGCGTAGAAATTCCTTGTTTTCATTGGTGGCCAAATTTGCGTGGTCGATAGTCATTAATCATACGCAGTGAAGTGATATGAAGCAAATGAATGATTGGTTTCATAAGACTTTTCAACCCCTTTTTTATTCCAGTTATTGATCGACCTTTTGTGAATGAAGGAATTTATTATCGCAGTAGCGTCCATCATCGGTAAGTATTACTACCTAAACGTTATTTACTTATATATCTCCATCACATTATAGCATGTGAGAATAAGACCCTGAGAGAGGTCATATGCGATTTGAATCCACGACATTGCAGCCCCTATAATACAACAGTGACAGGACGTTTTTTAACAGGGTTAATTCATTTTTCCGATTTCTTACAAAAGCGGTCTAATGTGTTGAACACCAGCGTTCTTAAGCAAACATCTACGTCATAGTAATCTTGCTGCTCCAAGTGCAGAAGAATTTGCTAGATGGCAAAGCTACGAAAGGGAAGAAGGCGCAGAGTATGCTCCACCTACTGGCCCTGGTTGGAAAAAGGGTAGGTGAATTTTCCTCATTGCATAAAATGATGGTAGTCAGCTGTTTTCTAAAGGTAATGGTGAACTGTGACTTTATGTTACAAAAAAGTTAAACTTCACTACAATTGAGAGTGTTTCTAAGCACTTCAGAAGTGCAGAGATGAAACGGTAACCATTAATAGAATTGAGCGTGTGGTCTACTGAGTTTGGTTGGCACATGTGTCGGATAAGGTTATCTTTGCGTACATGCTGATATTTGTGGATAAGCCGTCTTACGTACACCAGAATAATCACGCAATTTTTAATAGTCTTTTATTCTTTGTATCATCTTCATTTGGTGAATTAAATATATAAATTGTATAGGCTGTATAGGCTACGTTAGCATTATATGGTTTTATCTCAGGCACCTTCGTGCATGACTTTCTTAAATCTGACTAGCTTTCGCTTTTGTTTAGGTCTTTCAGAGAAATATGATAATTTCTTTCTATAATTATGATTAGTTTGGCTCCACCTTTCAAGACATTGCTTATACAGGCGTTGTCTGTATACCCAAGTTTGAGGTCACACGGCGGGTACGTGTGGCCTTAGTACGGCAACATGACAAAGTTGCGTACTCTACTGTTGGACCAGTTTACTCGATAGTTCCTTCTTCCTATGTACTTCTCCACCTTAATCAACTACATGTCCGTCGGTAGTGGGCTCCATTCACATTCTATACGTTGCCATGATTCATTATATTAATCCGAGTGGTGAGAATAATCAGTTGCTGGTAAAATGGTGAAAATCTAAAACCTTCGGGCTTTATCAATCCCTGGGGCGTTGCCATGCATTTGACTCCATCAGCCATCACGGAACTGATTGAATGAATATATGGCCTATACAATGGCTTCACCATGTATTAGTTCGGTTTTGGTGTCATCCCGGTTATAAGTTATCGGTAACAATTTGAATTTTGTGAGTTTGAATTTTAGTCCTGAAAAAGACGTGTTGGAGCTCGTCTTCGATGGTATATCAACATTAAACACGAAGATGCCAAAGACAATATGGGAAATAAGGGATTTCGTGTAATTCTCGAAGTTATTGAAAAAGGGTCGGACGATGATGAAGTCTGTGGCGAACGGTCAAACTGTGTATTCTGTGGAGACAGCTAGTCCATTGATGGCAGTTAGACAGATTACTGAGCAATTTTTGTACACGGCTCTTATAAACAACTGATGCTTGGAGTCTTATTGTGAATGAAAGCAACAGATGTGGATGAAAGGGTGGAGAAAAAAGGCGGGCAATATGCCCCTCAACGTAAAGTGGTGAATCATGAACTCCACGAAGTGGGTACTTCCCCATGGTAGAAGGGAAGAACTTGTAGGTGAGAACTGATTCTCAAACTCCAATGGTCCCTATAACAACTACTAAGGTTTAGAATCAGTTATTTCAATTCAAACTTCAGAGCTGCCGGTAGCAGAGGCATTGAAATCATTGTGAATTTTCACCAGTGTACTAAAAGAAATGTTGGATCTGAAACCTCTCAACTGGATAAACATATTTGTTAGGGTCAGCTGATTTGTGCAATATACTGGCCATACATTCGATAAGATCTTCATTTTAGAATACTCGATCTGCAGCAGTGCCGAAATCTGTGCCTTTAATCCATAATTTGGATCTCAAATAGAGCTTAGAATGCTTGCTTAGCCAGCTGTAAAGAATTTTAACAATGAAAAATCGTAGTTTGGTAATGGAGAGATTATGTGAATCTATCTAATTCCCTTTCGGTAGGTGCAAAGTTACTTTTCATTTTCACAGTTTCAATTTCGGTTTACGATAGGTCTTGGTGATGTGAACATTGCAACCGGCTTGGGGGTTTACACACCAATTGGTCGACTTGGCATTCGTCGTGATTTCGACCTTGCTTTGGGAGGATCGGGAAGAAGTGGCGGACGCAGTTTTGGGTTCGGTAACGGCTATCAGCAACTTGTTGGTTCTGTGCCTTGGGCATAACATTACAATTGCACCAAATAAACTCGGAGAATAAAAACGGATCCCACGTAACGAACTGTCTTCAGAATAACAATAAACTTATTATATTTATCATTACTTTCAATGTCTGAACCATTATGAGTCTTTCCACCGTTTTTATCGAAGTACAAAACAAACCAACCATTTTGAAACTAGAACGCTCCCACAGAAGAATGTTTTCTCAAAGCCACATTTATTGCGTTTAAACCTACACGTCATTTAACAGGTACAAGTAAGAATACAATGGTTATCCGTTGTATCAGATACAAAAGTATCCCCGTGAATTGTCTTTTTGATTACCTTACACGGGAATGGTATGAATGTACAAAATATAACCTCATCAAAACTAAACACATCTGGGAAGAGGGTCAGGTAGGGAGAGGGAGAGTGGTTAACTGAACATAAGAAAATTGGTGCATAGGGAAAAATGCATGCTATAGACAAATGAGTAATGGGATGCTGCGCAACATCATTAGATATGTTATTGATGATATATTCCAACGCACAAAGATTAAAGCACAGTAGCACCAACGATTAAAGCACCAACGCACAGTAGTATGATATGCCTCCAGTACTATTTTATCTCATCTTTGCTACACGATCATTATGAAATCGAAGGTACCCAATTGCATGCATTGTGCTTTCGTTCTTAGGGCGGAGGAAAATGTTTTGTTTTATCAAAGGTCTAGTGTCTAAAGAGTTTTTGCTTTAGCATCATTAAGAGATTCCTATTCATTTGGACAAAAAGGCATTAAGATAAGGTTTGACAAGTTCAAGTAGAGATGTAAATGTAAGCATAAATATGAAACACTGCATCAGCTACGAGAACAAATATTTAGAGGGCTGTGGAGATAACAGATGACACACCGTGAACCATCAGTGTAGGTGGAAGCGCATCAGTTAGACAACGAATTTGATCCAAATACCTGAAAAATGCCGACTAAGTAATTAAAGTATTGATATTATAATAAGCGAACTATGGATCGAAAAGGAAAGGGACGAACATATTTTAGTAGTTCCCATGACCGACTTTCTTTTAACCTTGGTATTGATTGATAATTCGATGTTTTTCTTCAATAAACAGACACGAGGAGACACATATTTCATTAAATTACGTACTGATTTTGCATATGGTAATAATAATATCCTCCCAACGGTTTACCACCTCATCATGGCTAAGAGGTAGAGCTGCGGTGCACAGCCAGGAACCATCACCCCACCACATCTACCAAGCTGGGAAGGATTTCAGCGTCTCCATCATGAAGTCCAACTAAGATTAAACCAATACCAGGATCCGTCACCGTTCCAGTATCAAACTAGTAGCGTGGTGGTAAATCCCCCTCCGATCCACAAGGGCTGCGACTGCCTGGGGTGGTGAAGACTTGCGAAAGGCTTCGGTTAGGCTGATTTTGGGACTCCAGGAAAACAACATCTCCTGTCGTGCAATAGGTAGTCGAACAACTCGGGCGCTTCTAAAGTTCTAGTTAACAATTAATTCTAATTCGAGTCGCAACTGTTCTAGAGTTTTGATGAACTCTGACTAGCAGGTCGGTGGCTAAATCAATAGATTTCAGTTATTCTGGGACCCGAATAACCAGTGAAGACGGATCACCCAAGTAAAGGGTAAAAAAGACAACGTTTTTAGCGTTGATCAATCCCTTTAGGGATGTGCCACGCATTCGACTTCATTAAGTATTGTTGGAGATGACTGATTGCAAATCTACCCTTTACGATGGCTCGCGGTGCTTTTACCGATTTATCGAGCAAGTGCTGCTATTCTCCCAGACAAGTCTAGTACCAATTTCTGACAGGGAGGGGAGGGGGGGGGGAGGGGAAGCTGGTGAGCCCTGGGCGCGGGAATAGATCCTATATGTATTGCAGGGCGCCTCCGACCACTGCGCCGCACGCGTTCATACCATCTAAGTAAATGATAACAATATGTATCGTAAATTTGCTTGATTAAAGAAGCGGGTGGCGCAGTTTATTGGCCAACCCTTCTTCGGGCTCAATAAGTCTCCTATCTCTCCAGGCTAGGGAAGTTGGTACCAGACTTCCTAGTCTCAGCTACCTCCTTCCGGTCAATGTAGGAACGCCCTAGGAAGGCAGTCACGGAATTCTTCGCAAAATCGACTCGACCAGCGTTCAATTACATAAACAAAAAGGGCGAAAATCCCAGAGTCGAAGCCAGGTGCAGAAAAATACGAAAATATTTGTGGAGTACGGATGCGAAGAAAAGAATCGAATGTAAAAAGTTCTAGGCTTTGTGCAATATTTAGTTTCGAGTCATTTTGAAAAAGTAGAAGTAGTAATAAAAATAAGGAAATATAGATGGTAGACCCAAAGTGATAAATGTAATCCTTACCTAAAATAATAAAAGTATAAAAAACTCGAAAGGAGCATATTTAGACCATAGGTTGTTGCTGAAGACTAAACAGTAAATGATTTTTGAGTCTTTTTTTAAAGGATACATATCTTACCATTAAAAGCACTTTTGAAGCATACAAATATGCGCAAGGTATACCTATTTTCAAACCTGGTAATCTTGGCATGCATAATAAATGATTAGTACTGAAAAGTTTCTAGAATTCCTATATCGAAAAAGTGTGGTAATAAGTAACGGGTGCTAGACCTGTCAGCATGTTTGTTCGCATCATCAGGCGGTAGTGGAAGATTTAGTAGCGTAATCGCTGCCTCCTCGCTGTAACGTTTAATCATGTCGTTAAATGCGGACAAGTATGATCCCGGAAGATCGATTGTCGGCCTAAACGGTTGCCTTGAAAGGAATTACCTTGAGCCAGTTAGTATAAGTTTCAATTGAGCGACAACTACGAAAAGACTCGTTATTGGAAAAACGTGGAGCTCTTTTTTCTAAAAGCTAACCTTTGCGTATTAGCGAATGGTCCGCTGATCTGTGGAAAATGGCACACGACGTGATCCCATGGTACAACAATGGACTCTGCTTTAATACGGAGCATGTCCAACATCTGCTTTAATTGGCGATCTCTACGGTGCATGTCCTTAAACAATTTTTCATTTTCTCGAAGATTTACACCGAAATTTGATGGATAATCTGCACTCGGAGTTTAAAATTTTCCGCAAAATAATCCCATCCTATTTTTAAAAGGATTTTAAGACTTGCTTTTCAAATTAAGAGAAAATCCAAAAACATTAGAGAATTAACAACATCACCTCATAAATTCATTATGGGAAAAGTAATACATACAAAAATGTTAACCAACAAACAGATTCTAAAACCGTGAACAGCAAGATGTAAACAATCATTTACTGAATATTATAAACACCGTCATAACCATTTCTTAAAAAATGTATTTGTAATATTCAAAACGAGAAGCGACTACTATTTTTGGTTCGCAAAACGTAGACCCTAAGCCAGATTCGAATCGACGATAACTCTTACCGGTGGCTCACCCAGTGCGTCGGCACTTGCCTTTCCTTTCTCTCAGACAGTTTTTTAACCTAACGATGCCATCAGCAATCACCCGTACCCATTATGTATATTTCCACTTATTTCATCTTACATTACCATTCTTCAAACCTACTGTGCGGATCCCAGAACTTCTTGCATTCGATTCATTTCCTCTCATCCGTCATACACGAAGGTCTACTGACATTCTGCGAGTGGGCTCGGCTGCTTGACGATATCCATTTCTTCTTGAATGTCGTAGAATGCTGGTCGAGCGAATCTCCCTGGAGTCCTGGGATAGCAGGACTGGAGCATTCCCAACTGGATCCGAGGAAGTGGAGTTTTCTCAAACAAGTTTGCCACCAAATTTCCAACCCCGCAGAGACGACATGCTTGTTGTTCTTATTGCAATGTCGAACCAGCAGCATCTCGCGATAAAAGGCATCACCGCCACTACTCTACTCGGCCCCCAAATATATATATATATATATATATATATATATATGTATATATATGAAACAGAAAGACAACTTTCGAAAAAATTGTTCCTTTCTATGTTCACTCTTAGCCGAATCGAAGGCCTAAGTACGTAAGCAAGTGCAACTGCATTGAAAACGAAGATTTTCTATTAAAAACTTCATAATGTAGCCACTTTTTATTTGCTGCCTATAATGTTTTTTTTTAGAAAACTTCATATTCCTGTAATCAAAAAGGAACTGGCGCTATGAAATGTAAAGTCTCATAATTGTGTGCGATACAACTATTTAAATTAACAATTTCAGCACAAACTAAGACCACATTTTAAGATCTTTTAAGAGAAAACGACATTTTTTCACAGTGCCTAATAAAATGATTAGGATATAATGCTGAGATATTTGCAAAACTCCGGACCGCAGGTGTATGCGGTGGCAAACGAACGCGCTATTGTCCTTACCGGCATTGAACCCAGTTAAGCTGAGGCTTAGTTATAATCACAATCACGTTTTGGGCTCCCTGGATCAATCCCGTTGACGGGTGATTGCTGATGGCAAAAGATCGATAGAACTAGCTGAGAGACAGGCAAAACAAAGGACCCGGATGGTGTGGTGGTGAAGTGCGCTACTCCCCGGTAAGGACAATAGCGCGTTCGTTCGCCACCCCATACCCCTGCGGTCCGAAGTTTTGCAAATATCTCAGCATTATATACGAGTTATATTTCGCAACATACCCTGCCATTGAAAAGAAAAAGGCAGTAAATAAAAGGGTTAAGAAAATGATTAGGATTACGGGCAAGAGAAATAGTTGAACGCCTTGCCTGCAAACTGTTCACACATATAAACACTCTCAGCCGAGAATGAGACCGCCACCTTGAGGACATTGAAAGAATGCACGCGAGTTGTAGCAAAAATAGTGAACTAAAATTAAACAATAGAAATGATAACCTGAAATAAAGAACATATTCTCCAAATTGAAGCTGAACATAGATCTTGACATTTGCCCATTACAGTAAAGATTTAGTTATGCGATGTATCTGCCTCATATTTAGGAAAAAAATCGGTTAACTAAGTAACGACAATGCGCAAACGCCTGCCAATAATTTCTACTTCTAACCTTAAATAAGTATATCTAAACCAATAGCGAAGTTTAGAATTGAAATAAAAACGCAAAGGCCTTTGCCACCAAGGTGAAAGTTTTCGCAGTCTAATAAGGTGAAATCTGATTCTCTTAATAATAATAATTACTCTACCTATCTCGAACAACAAAGCGATTCAGAAGCTGAATTTAGCCCAAAAGGACTCAATGATGTCAGAGAATCATTGATATCATGTTGCCCAGTCCGTATAGAAAATTTTGAAATTTGGAAACCATTTTTAAAACTCTTCAAAGATTTGGATTTGAATAAACCAAAACAATATTTTGAAAGATTATGTGTACTATTACAGTGATAAAGTGACACTCTTCAATGGATTTAAAGCTATCGAAGGATTACCGACGATTGTCAAAAACCCAAAACGAACGCGATTGTGGTAGAAAAAGACAAAATCAGCACGAATACAGAATATTAGTATTTATTCATTGGACATTCAGCTACATTGTACCTTAGCCTATATAATAAAACAAACCGGACAACGAGTACTTCGGTGAAAGCAATGCACACCAATATGGTGCACCCCCACCACGCTATAAAAGCAACAAAAAGAAGCGAAAAGGGTGGCAAGACAAATAGCACACTGCTAAATTTTATTTTGAATTTTCATAACAAACCTGTTGTCCCAACCAAGCCCAGTCTCAACAGGCTTCTGCAGATCGACAGGCCATACATCGATAAATCTTTTCTGATTCCAACTTTGAGAAAGACTTTCCTGTAAACAGAGAACACGATAAAATATGGGACGTTTCAGAAGCTCCGCTTTAGGTTCACTATTCAAAACGATTATGTATTGAAAAAAGTAACGAACTTTGTCATGCTTATGGAAGTGTCTCGCAACACATAGGCTCTTCGTCATATATAACACGTCTTTTAGAACATTTACGTATTCTGATGGAGTTAAGCGTTCCAAATTACCATTGAGTTCCTAAAATAAGAAGAAATACTAGTTCGAATTATGGAAGACCGCAATAAAAATCTTATGGAAAACAGCGAAAAAAGAGCACCGTGATGAACTATTTACGACTACAGTTTTGACAAAATAGCATCAACGAAGGGTTTCATATAAAAACAGTACGAAGTTCACTCATTTAATAAATAGTGGGATCAAAATTGATACAAGCAATACCCCTTAACTCACAACGCTACCTCAACTATGTAGAAATACTACCAAAGTCATATCTCGGGCCGCGTGTAGCGCAGTTGTCAGAGGCGCCCTGCACTACACATGAAGCCGATCCCTGAAGCCCATGGTCCAACGAGCCTTCGATCCTCCTGGATCGTCAAATTAGTACCAGACTTGTCTGGGAGGATAAAAGCACTGGCTCTATACAACGGTAGGCCACCACGAGTCATCGTAAAAGCCAGATATGCATTCAATCTCTCCAGTGATAGTTAATGAAGTAGAACAAATGGCGCATCCATCAGGGAATGAACAACGCCTATAGCTTTATCCTTTATCCTTATTACCACTGGCACGTCTAGTCTCTACTGCCTACTCCTCTTCTACTGCGCTGACTATTACAATAACTAGTTAAGCTAACTACGAACAAACCATATTCCTAAATATTTGGACAGAAATAAATGACGCTTTTCTTAAAACAAATGTGCATCGGAACTTGCTCACTTTCGGCATATAGTCCTTAGCAGTAAAGTACTCAACGACAGCCGCTCGATCAATCTTCGAATAACGTAAGTCCTTGAGAAGCTGTGATTCCTGGGAATTCAAATCAATTAGCTTACACATATATGGAACAAATGTCCTTTCTAATTTGTAAAGTAGTAAAGAATACCTGCAAGGTTGCATTGATTGGTGCAGCTTCATGGAAACCCAATACGACTGTATTTGGCTTCATTGCACCCAGACCGGATAAACGAATGAGCTGCAAGACAAGAAACTTTGTTGAAAAACACATGTACGCCCTTCAAAAATGTCCTTACGTATGTGTTTCATTTCAGTACGTCAAATTCATAGAATCCCAAGCACAAAGGCATATTAGTTATGCGCGAATCTGTTTAGGTTTATTGCTGTCAAGGATTTGCTCCTACTTTTTTTATTGCTTTGCCATGACAAGAGGTATTCCTAATTGTTCAAATGTGATGTTCGGCATAGGGATTCAATCCATCAGAAGCAACACTACAGCTAAGAACTGAAAAATTTTCACTAGTCTCAGTTATGAGTATACCAATATCGTGAATACGTCATCTTTTCTCAAAAACAGTAAAGGCGAAAGTCTTCATACCAAAAGCATGATTCTTCTCTTGTCCCTCAAACACGCTGAGCCCACTGGGAATTTCTAACCAGCAAAAGGGATAAATGGAAAGTTACATGGCGCCTGATGGCGTCACATGACAACTAATGGGATTACATATAATACATACGCTCTGTTGAAAACTAGCATATGCCGCTATTTTATCTGAACTGAAGCCATGGATTTCGTCTCCGTTGTCACCTGATGTCGAACTTGTAGTGGAAACTATACACGTAGGAAGGATAAAGGTGTATCGATATAAAACATCGTTCAGAAAACAGCCACTTTAACGACAAACTGAGAAATTAAACCAACCTGTTGAATACCTTGTCGAATGCTATTTGAAATAGTCAACTCAACGAATGCTTTTAATTTGAGATAATCCACAAGCGAAAGCCAGTAAGGGAAAACCTGAAGATGTTCAATTGTCCATAGACTCTAATATTTTCTATTTAATAAGGTATGAACTATGGCGCAAAACAACAAGTACAATGAAAATACTTAAGTGATGGAAAACATAACAACACAGCGGGATAGGAAACGGAAGATTGGTTTCAGAAAACCTGAACGAAAGGATCTGCGAAAACTAAAAAGTGAAATCCTTCACAAACAAGGCTTTCTCTGATCTCGCATGTTGAAAAAAACCTCGTGGGAACAATCTTCTATACGTGAAAACTTTTAGGTACAAAAGGAGAACCGTTAAGTGAAGGACTGCAATACTTTTAATTTTCATTTAACTGTAGAGGCTTGACAAACTAAAGCAAGTTTGTCAAATTGAAATTTCGACCATGTTAATGATATAAAAAATCATTTCATTAATAAACGGAACCAACTTGCTGAAGTGGATCAACGGCACCGTTCGCGTCCAAATCACCTTTCTGTACGTGTCCAACTACGTACAGACCGGATTTCTTGAGGTCGTTGACGAAATCCATTAGTGGACATGCAGACGATGGCCTCGATACTAGTAGCAAGATTTGCGGACGCCAATATCTACACGACTTAAGCATGTGATACCGCATTCAATACAACTTTGAAACGCAAAAGAAGTGTTTCATGAAGAACAACTAGTTTAACCGAAGGCACGGAATTCAGATGGGTTCAGCGTTTCTTTCACGTGATTATCAGGTTTTTAACGTAAACTATAAATCCATTCATATGTTTTTTGGTCGAAACATGAGCGTTATGCGAAAATGAGACTTAAAGGAGAGAGAACGCCTTACAAAAAAGTTCTTGCAGTGAACAGGAACATACTTCACATGCTCTTTTCTGACGTCCAACAACAACAGGTATTTCCTGACTTGATGGTAGATCAGTGCCTGCGATATTGAGCCCGATGAGATCGCTGGGGCCTAAAAAATGGTGTCAAGATCACAGGAAGATCCATGTGTTAAAAAAATAAAATGAAGAAATCTTGGAACAAAAGAACGTGCACAAATCAACAGGAGAACCAAGAAAACTACTTGGTAATGGAGAACCATGATGAGCGACATGAGTACAATTACGCCGATAGCGCTCATCGATGCATCGACCACCAACATCATTGTTGAAGTTGAAACAACTCCAAGTGCACACGTCCACCAAGTAAAGTATTTGAAAGTGGGTCTAGAAAAAGATTCCTATTTAACACACGGAAGCTGACAACTGATTTTTATCGGATACTGTGCATTCTTCAACAGCTAATATAATAAAGGGTTTAGAATGAAAATAAAAGATAAACTTGTGGAAGAGAATTTGCTTTGTTTCACTACAAGTGCACCTTATCCTTCCACGATCACATGACATTACCTGTAGCCTCGTTGACAGTCGAGTGACTCGAGCCAGCGCCAGTAAATCTTCTATTTTTCCCTGTCGCATGCAAGAGAAGCCCAGTGGGCTCTGCTCGCTCTAGGAACTCGTCGAGCATCATCTTTCCTCTAGGCTTTTCGTGAAGACCCCTGACCATCGAGTAGGTAGTCATCCTGTAGTGCGTTTAACATCCTGAAGAAACCAGTCACTAACGGCTCTTGTCCATCATTTGTCGCTCATACTCATTACGTGTCCGGCCCATTTTATCTTCGACTGTTTGGAAGTACAGAACGGCATCTCTGATTCTTGATCGTTGACGCAGATCGGAGCTTCGGATCCCATCCCTTGCTTGGGTGGAACGGGATACTCCTGGCATCGTCCTTACGACCGCGCGTTAGATAACGCTGAGTGACCTTTCATTCTCCTTACGCAGCGACCAGGTTTCTGACGCATACGTTAGGGCAAGAAGTACCGTTGAGTCGAAAAGGTAAGCACGGAGTCGAGCGTTCTTTCTTCTCTTCACTTCATCCCCGATGGTCTTGAAAGCTCCCCAAGGCGCTCATTTTCTTCTGCTCAGCTCTGGAGCTAGGTCGTTCATCATAATGATTTCCCGACCTAGACAGATAACAGATATAACTGGAGCATTCGGAGATATTCGTTCCGTTGAGCGTGAATGGGGCATGCGAAACTAATCCGTTCTTCATGAACATCGCTTTTGTAAGATTTAGTCGAAGACCAATCTTTCTACAGGCTTTAATAAAGTCGGCAGGCATACGTTCCGCTTGGCTAATGCTTTGTGTTATAAGGACGATGTCATCAGCAAAGCGAAGATGGTGTAACTACCAACCATCGATTTTCACTCCCATATTATCCCATTCCAGTGCTCGCATGATGTTCTGGATGGTGGCGATAAATAGTTTCGGCGAGATGGTATCGCCTTGTGTAACTCCTCTTTTGACGTCAATGTTAATGTCGCTGTAGAATGGTGACATCTTGGTTGCGAAATTTTTGTACAGCTCACGAAGAATCTTTATGTACTAAGTAGGTAATCCCTGACTATCAAAGGCTTTCATGACTGCTTCTATCTCAACTGCATCAAAAGCCTTCTTTAAATCGATGAAAGTGAGACACAGCGGTCTTTTGTACTCTCGCGATACCTCATTGAGCCTTGTTGCGGTGTGGATGTGGTCCATCGCACTAAATCATTTTCGAAACCCTGCTTGCTCACATGGCTGTTCTTAGTCTAGTGTTTTGTCAGCCCTGTTTAGGACGACTCGAGTGAAAAGTTTGTAGACGACAGATAGCACACAGGTTGAGCCATAGTATCCGATAGCGTGTAGGCCGCCCTTCTTGAATAATAACACGGTCTTGCTGGTCTTCCACAGAGTAGGGACCTTGCATTCAGACAGGTAACGTGTGAAGAACCGAGCCAGTGTGTTTACGAGGACTGGCGAAAGGTTTTTCAGGTGTTCTAATCTTATCCTATCCGGACCTGGCGATGTTCAATTTTTCACTGGCGAAATGGCATGTCGGATTTCGGAAGAGAGAACCGGTATTTCAACGTATCCATCCGCCTTTCATATGACAGAAGGTGGACGTGGCTATCGAAGAGATCCGAGTATTCATAAACGATTTCTTCCATTGCCTTTCTGGAGGCTGTAACTGTTCCGTCTGGGCGCCGGAGTGCAATCATCTTGGTCTTGTAATTGGCGAAGCTTCGGTGGGCTTCACGAATGCTTTTCCCGGCCACTGCAGCTTCGGCCATTACTGCTGCTCTTCTCTTTTCTCTTTTCTTCTCTTTTCTTTTTTTCAAAGATTGTCAAAGATTCTTTTATCGCCTGTCTGCATTGTTTTGCAAGTTCGGACGTTAGTTCAAGGTTGCTTTCAGCTCGTTCTATTCCACTGTGACCTATCAACTCGAGTGCTTCTGGAGACAGACGTACTTTGGTGACTTTCGAACTCTCAGGTTTCACAGCGGTACCGTGAAGATGTTGATTGAGCCGATCGTATTCTTCGTCGATGTTATCGACACGGCATCTTTCCAATGACCGACTGATGAATTGAATAACTCCCAGCTTCAGCTGATTCTGGGACTTCCGTTTTTGAATTTAGTAGCTTTTACTCCTTTCCACGAGAAATAGAATCTTGCACGAAGATGGTGGTCTGATCCCGTGTAGAATTTTTAGACAACAGCAACATCGGTTAGGCAAAACCTTCTATTTATTATGATGTGGTCTATTTCGTTATGGTATTCTTCATTGGGAGACTCCCACATCCAGCGTTGAGGTCGCAGCTTCTGGAATTGCGAGTTACCTTGGATAGTCTTGGTCCTTACGATAAACTCAGACAGCCACTCACTCTTTTCGTTCGGTTCTAGTCCGTGGGTCCCGATGTGACGCTCTTCTTGGCCTGATCTTGGCGTTGAAATCTCCAATGATGACCTCGAAGAATGTGTGGTCTTCTCTGTAGAATTTCTCCAAGTCCATATAGAACGCTTCGACTTCTTCTTCGTCATAGTTTGATGTCGGCGCGTAAACGACAAAGATTGTCAAAGCCGGAATTGATCCACATCTTTTTAATCGTAAACGTCTGATTTGGGTTGTAAGTTGTTCGAATGAATCGTTATTCATGGACAAACTCGTTTTGACGTGAACACCGACTCCGCCGACTCATCCACTGTCGCATTTTCCGAGGAACAGTTCTTCTCCGGTGTCACAGGGCGGTGTTGAATGGGTGGCGTCATCTCGTCTCGGTCAAGCCGAGGACGTCGTACCTTATCCTTCTTGCTTGCATGAGCAAGTATTCTATCGAGGACTAGGATGCAAGTGTACGTGCATTGTAGGTAGAGATGGTCACCATGGTTCTTTGAAATCGAGGCAGCTTCCATTGGCCCTGAGATTTTAGCGGCCTGTCCGTACTCGTCCTACCCAACGCTGCGAAATTGGGGGCTCTTTCGGGTTCAGGGAAATGAGGCCTGCTTTTTTACTGTGTTTAACATTTTATACCCACGTACAGCTTGCTAGGCTCTGAACGTGGGGACTGGGTATACTCACGGGTGCTTGCCAGGTTCTCCCAGAGTGGACATGGAGCTTATTTGTTGGATGCGTCTCCTAACCACATCCCACACACTTTCCTGTCACTTGATTGCAGGCTTTTGACCAAATTGACTTGTAGAATACAATCTGCATAAACTAGAACGCACCCACATAAGCGTGCTAAATACGCCTCATAAATACAGAAAGTATATTTTCCTTCTACGATATCATTTAAAATAAAAACTGTATAGTAATATGCAACAATACATTTCGGAGCACCCTCATATGCTTGCTGGAAAAAATCATTCGCTGTTCGAAATTTTATCCTTGACAAAAAGAAAACGATGTGCGTGTTCCAAAAATTAAGGAACTCATTTCCGGTAGGAATTAAATTGTATCTCGATGAAAATTTCTGTATCCTCCACTTTGACTTTTGACTTTTGAAAGACTTTTGTGGGCTGAGATGTTTGTTTAAACAAGTAATTATTTCTTCACATGTACTAGTTGGAATCAACTGATTTTAAACCCTGTATGTTAGGCAAATCCTTAGCAGAATGACGAAAGCATCTAATATTGAGCTTTATTTAAGGACCTAGTCTTTTAGTAGAAAAGGATGTCGACCAATTGGCTCAATAAGATTTACTGAAAATAAGTTGGCATTAGAATAAAAGGTGGAAAACCTGAAATTGGGAGCACTGGTAAGCTCGAGTGCAAGACAGGCGATGTTTACTCCCATATAGGATAGAAGAAAGAATATGGAGGTGAGTTTAGCTATTTTGTTCATCGCTCCAATCAAAAACACACCCTGAATAACTCTTTGCATCATTTTTGTAAAGTTTAAATACAAAACAACGCCACCTTCTGTAACATACCACAACACAAAGCCATGTTATGACAACAGAGACAACAGGATTCCGGTCACCAATTTCTATCTTCGCCGGGCGAAGTAGACATCCGAACAGTTTGTCATGCGAAAGTCGGTTTAGCACACGAGAGGAGCCTGTATGCACATACATACACATATGAATAAATGTATACATACATATATGTACATGTGTATGTATATACGTGTCTACATGTATATATGCATGTGCATTTATATATATATATATACCCACTACCATAGAAGTCAATTGACCTTGAAAACGATCAAAACATAATAAAACAATTAGAATTGTGCGCGAGCACAGCTTGTTCAATTATGTTGAAATATAACCATAATTATGGGGATATATTTACAAAACTCTAGAACGCTGCTGTCTTCTGAGGTGACGAACGAGAACGCTGTTACCATTTCCGGGGACTAGCGCGTTCACCACCACACCATGCGAGTCCTTCGTATCGCCATTCTCTCAGCAGTGTTATTGTTATACGTTGAAACGAGTTTCCTTTATACGACAAGAACGACCCATTGCTCAATTGCACTGTGATGCAGAACTAAAAATGGAGAAAAAAGTGGATCCCATACAACTGATTACATTCACTTCCGTTACTGGAACGAAATGAAGCCTCTAGAGATCTCCAAAAATTAATCCACTTAGAAAGATGGTTATGATGACTTTGTTTTTGGATAGAGGGAATCACATAGTACAACGTTTTCCATCTTGGCGAAACTAACTCAACATAGAAAGAATGTCACAAACCCGATGAAATAAGCGACGCAATATCTAGACTTAGACAACAGAAAAGGTGCAACCCTGTTGTACAACAACAATCAACCATACGTTGCATTGCTAACGTTGTAAAAGTTGAATTAGATGAGCTACGAAACCACACAGCGACCATACCCTTATCCCTGCTAACCAAGCACCTCGACGACTAATAGCTGATGAAAACCCCAATAGGTAAATTGCTGCTAAAAATGACTGGTCGTTGATTAAGAACATAAGAACTCTGAGCTAAAAACCAGTGGAAATAGTGGCAAAAACCTTAAGATTTTACATGTACCATTGATTCTTATTTTGATTAACAAGTCTGTGCTTGAGCTGAGCTGTAGAACCACAACTTCGCTAAAATCGGGGATATTACCTCTCTACCAACCTAATACCCTCTTAATGGTTTACCACTTCATCGTGGGTGGGAGGTATTCCTAGGTGTCGAGCTGCAATGTACAGCGAGGGGAATCATTCCCCTATCATGGTTTTCAAGCTGAGAAGGAGTTCAGCGTTTCCATCAAGAAGCCCTGCTAAGAGTAAACCAATATCAAGATCCACTGCCGTCTTGGTATCAAACTATTTGCGTGGTGGCAAATCTCCCAGATCCACAAGAGCAGCCTATTGCCTGTGCTGGTGATGATCCGGTGCAGACTTTGGCCTGGCCGAACTCAGGACCCCAGGAAACCATAACGGCTAAATCAGCAAAACTCCGAAACAATGGAAACTATGCTGAGGCCCGCACAACCAGTGAAAGCAGGATAATCCAAGTATCCAAGTAAGTATTACCCTAATATTAGGCTGCTAAGAAAAGTTACCTAGTAACCATCACAATTTACAAAAAAAAAGAAAAAATTCTTCGTTAAACTTCCTCGTTCCACTGAATGTTGTGGTAAGACGCTGTGCTGTTGAGCCCGTTCTAATACATACCTACATCTGCTCGCCAGTGACCGACGGGAAAGGTGCAAAGATACCCTTTATACTCAAGTAATAGGAAGTACAAGATTTCGCTAACAGCAGATGAAGTAGGTTGGAGTCAATACACACTACGCGCTGTGATAAATAAGTGATAAATAACGCGTTCTCCCTTATGCGCTAAATAACCAATTTCGTCTTATACATACCAATCAAATTGCTCATTGATGAAAATAGTGTAGTAGAGAAAATGCCGATAAGAATGAACCATCTTTGGAAATTGGTGTCCATCATAACCTAAAAATATAATCGTCATCAGCACACTAAACTCTCATGTAAAATGATATCACACCGTGTAGTCATTTTGTAAGAGATATCTGCTCGACGTCGCTGCCATGAAGAAAGCAGTTATGATGTAAACAAGCAACGTAGTGAAGACAGCCTGCACCGTTCCACGAGGAATTGAAACTGAAGGTCGAGCCAATTCGCCGGACATGTTTGCACCAGCCATAAGACCTGATTGAGCACGTAATATGACATCATGCAATGCTTTTGTATAAGCTATAGTTCTACTAAAAAATTTCATAAAGACCTAGGGGCAGCCTACAAATAAAACAATACACTACCCAATTTTATCTACTCAATCGACATTTGAACTAGAAAGGACTAATCGCTACAGAACAGACATTTTCTTAAAATCTGAAGCTTAGGATCACGTAATTGTTTCAAATGTCAACGACGCTGAAACACAGAAACAAATTTTTTTTGCACTACCATTATGAAAGGGTGCAGGTAGAGCAGTGGTCTGAGGCGACCTGCAACGCATATGGGATCGAACCCCGCGCCCAAGGCTCACCGGCCTCCCTCCGAGGTCAGAAATTGGTACCAGACTTGTCTGGGAGAATAGCAGCACTGGCTCCATAAATCGGTAGCCCACCGCGAGCCATCATAAAGGCCAGATTTGCATTCAGTCACCTCCAACGATGCTTAATGAAGTCGAATGCACAGCGCATTCCTCTGAGATTGATCAACGTCGAGAGCTTTATCATTTCTTTTTATACCATCATGAAGTATAGAATACCTGTGACTCCGGAAAAAATAATTGCAAACATTAGCGCAAAATCAGTTGGACGTTCGGTTGTGTAATCCATTGTGTAGTTTGTGAACATATTTTCACCAAGTGTTCGGAAGCTAAATATAGCAATCAGTTTCACAGCGCTCACGAACGTGTAAAAAGGAATTTGATTACTTGAACCCAGTGTAGTTAGCTGTTAGTGTCTGATTCAATTGCACCACTAAAGGACTGTTCGGATCTGAAGCATTTTCGTGGACTCGATAAGCGGGTGTATTAACTTTCGGTATTGGAATTTCCATAGGTCCATCAAATATTAAGGAAAAAAGCCAAGTTGAATAACATATCTGAAATTACGAATACACTACAATTCATGTATCGGTTATTTCAAGCACCCAAGAGGATCACACCGAAATCAGAACAAATGTGAACAACGCTGTCTTGGCAAAAATACCAGCTCCAAGTAGGCACAAAATAAATAATACACTTGAAACCAGAACGCAGTACAGGAACCGCCATGCTGGCGAATCAGGGAATTCTGAAATTGCTAAGAGACCAGCTATGAATTGTAAACAATGGAACATAAGGTGATAGGTGAAAATAAACGATGAGAGTTAAAATTCTTATCATATTTCCTTCTCAAACTGGAAAAAACTACTGAAAAACTCACGTCCATTTCCAAGATTATTCAGAAGCGCCTCAGTGAAACCGGAAATATACAAGGCGCACGAGAAAATATTCGCGACAAATAATAGAACTCCAATTGCACCACCAAATTCTGGACCCAAAGACCTACTTATCATATCTGGAAAGTGTGCTATGAATGTCACCAGCTTAACATAGAACGTAGCATAAAATCTACAGCATTAACAATCTTCCTAAATATACACCTAAAAAGGTCAACTCATGAAACACGTTGTCTCTACACTAGATTGTGTTGCAAGTCGCTAGTAGGAATATAGTCAAAACTATCATTTCCAAGAAGACATTACTTACTTGGATACTTGGATGGTCCGTCTCCACTGGTAGAGCGGATCCCAGCTTAATTCCCATCTTTTGCGGTTTTCTTGGTTTAGGTATTGCGGTTCTCTGGTGTCCCTAAGTGAGCCTAGCCAAAATCTGCCCGGGTCGTGACCACCCTAGGCAGTCGCGGCCCTTGTGGATCAGAGCGGGATTTGCCACCACGCGACTAGTTCGATACCAGGACGGTGGTGGATCCTGGCATTGGTTTACTGTTACCTGGCCCTGCTAATGGAAACGCCAAACTAGCTTGGGAGACTAGGAGATGAATTCCGCTCTACATCGCAGCCCGACAACTAGGAACACCTCCCAGCCACGACGAGGCGGTAAACTGTTGGTAGGATAAGATATAGATAGGGTAAGATATTAACAACTAGTAAATCTGGCAAGAATTAAAGAGACAAGAAATGAACAAACAGTATACTCCTCCTCCTTCAACGGCCCCGTTGGATGAAATAGCACAAAGTGAAAGTACAGTTAGCATAACAATAGCATAAGCCATCGCCAATTGTACTACCGTCATTAGGAAACCTAGCTGACCAACGACAAACCCTGAAACTGATGCACTCATCTCAAGGAAAGGGGTAAAATAATGCTATAGGAATTTTGAAATATACTTGAGAAGCGTTCAGATAATGTACATGAAACAATAGAAACGAAGATAAAAAAAGAAATAAAAAAAACAACTACACAATGTTTAGGTTTTGGAAGATACTGACCCATTCGCATGAACAACAAGATGCTGAACATTGATAATGCAACAGGAGCAAATACACCGGAAACTGTTGAAAGGCCTTTCGGTCGCGACTGGGCGAATTCAATACCTGAGACAAACCAAGCGTCAAGTCAGACGTGCTAGTCCGCTGGTGGCAAAGAAAAACAGATACCGGAAAACAAAATACTTGAATTAAAATGCTATTACAGAACTTCACAAAGCTAATGCTACAACAATGTGTGAAACATTAGAAAATAATACGGCTGGTAAGTTAAGCTGAATAGAGAACAGAACACTCACTTGACGACGAAGTTTCAGCATTCATTATGTTGTTGTTGAGACTGTTGGCTTGATCACCTGTGAAATGAGAAAAAATCAAATGAAATCATCGGTGAATTTCATCCACCAAGAAAAAAAAGCACAAAAGGCCATTGTCTAGATGATGCTGCACAAATAGCAAGAGTAACACTTTTTTTAGCATCTTGCAGAGGAAAACTATGGAAGGATATTTCTGAGGACACAAATAAATACAGCGCCAAGGTAAATGTAAAAAAAAAGAAGTATATTGACTTCATAACGAAGAACCCGCACGGCGTAGTGATGAATGCGGCAGCTCTCGGAAAGGATAATCGCACGTTCGGTCCGCACTGCAGTAGACACCAACGGTCCGGAGTTTTCCAAATATCTCAGTATCATTACGGTTATATCTCACATGATACCCTTCCATTAAAAAGACGGCAGTAAGTAAAAATTGACGATATATTGACTTTGTTACAATATAAAGCACTTCAAACAGATCAATACGTAGCAGAAAAAAAACCTTCGAATATCTAATAAAGGGAAATTATGGTAACAATATAAAATGACGCAGTACGGCAATATAAAGAAACTAAAGGAGAAATGAATAAAACTACAAAAGTGACTTAAGGCAGGTTGAAAACATAAAGCACGACATAGAAGCTTAAACTTGTTGCACAAAGCGGGATTAACCACACATCGAACAGTAAACGAAAGCCTCCAATACCACTGTACTGAAAGACATAATCCTAAGGTGGAAAATCTTCCCCAGATCCATAACGACTCGCCATCGTTCGTGATGACGGTCCAGAAACGTCCAAGCATAAGTTTGTTTGGGGTGCGCAGAATATTTTCCAAGCCGGTAAGGTAAAAATTGGACCAAAAATGTGGTGCGATCTGCACGATTCCTCGAGAATACATAGGACATTAAAGAATTAAATTACTCAAGCAAAAACTTTAAAAAGACAACGCACCGAGGAAAATAAAATGTAGCAATGCAGCCTTAGACAAATGCTAAAGATTTCAGAACAAAAGAGAATGCCCACGATCCACACTGGTAGCAATTTATGCTCTTACTTACTTGGATACTTGAATGACCCGCCTTCATTGGTTGTGCGGGACCCAGCATAATTTCCATTTTTCTGAAGTTTTGCTGTCTTAGCTCTTGTGGTTCCCTGAAGTTCCAAGATAGCCTAGCCAAAGTCTGCCCCCCATGTCATCACCACCACAGGCGGTCGCCGCCCTTGTGGATCAGAGGGGAGTTTGCCTCCACGCGACTAGTTCGATACTGGAACGGTGACGGATCCTGACATTGGTTTACTCTTAGCTGAGCTTCCCGATGGAAACGCCGGGCTCCTCTTCAGCTTGGGAAACCCTGCTGAAGTGATGAATCCTTCCACAGTATATCGTATCCCGACATCCAGGAACACCTAGCCATGATGGGGCGATAAACCGTTGGAAGGGTTTATGGTCTTATGCTGCCACACACAAGGAACACTTTATGGTCAGTATCTATAACTCCACAACAGTATCTTCGAACACCGATCTTCAGGCCTATGTGGGAGGATTTTCCAGATGTAGAAAATTCTATGTGATCTCCCTGTCCGGAGACAAAATGTCTTCGAAAAAATCGAAAGCTTCAATATCTACACTCAAGTGAACTCACCATCAAAATAATATATCAGCTTCATCAGCTCCACACAAAAGATTCAGAAGCAGTGGAGATCAAAAATGACACGCTCCATCATCAATTCAAGGGACACAAAATGAACAATTCTTCCAGAATTTTTTTATTGGATAGCGACTCAGGAGTAGAAAATATAACAAAGGAGGGTGAAAGGCAGTACCAGCCAATTCCGAACTCTAGAAAAGGACACAACAGTTTGTTGTGTTTAGTCATTGTCTTATCCATGTGGAGACCCAATTTATACATAAAGTAAAAATTACTTTTACAGACCAAGACAAAAAGGCAAATCATGGTCATGGAAATACAGTTCGACGAAGTAATCGAAAATTCAGTGGAGTGTTTCGGATCTCCCAAGTCAAAACATTCAGAGCTCATGTCAGAAACACGAAAGAAAGGAAAAATGACTCTAGAAACGAAGTTCCTGGCTTGAATCAACTGATCAACTGCGACGCAGGTTAAAACATTTATAGTAATTGTCAGTTGTACAGAAGAAGATGAATAATACTATAGCGATACATGAAAAGAAGTACAAAACAGACAGTTCCGTGAGAAATTTATATGAGTAATTCGCTAGAATTTCATAGCAACCAACTCTCTGTAAGGAAATCCCAGAATCGCTATTAAAATTAAACGCAATACATAAGTTAACGGCTGAAATCACAATATCTTCTGCAGACAAACGAAACTCTCGTAAATAAACTCGTGCTGATGGTAACAATGCTACTAAGAATGGTAAAGCTAGATAGACAGCTAGACATCCCGTACTTTCTCAGACTGGGCCTTCACCACCCACACACCTATGGCTCACGTGACCCCCCATGATAGCAGAAACCCAGCAAAGATTTCAGGATCTGTCACTTCGTGAAAGATGTGGAACTAGAAGGACTTCTGACAAAGCCAACTGAAATATTCACTGACTGAACTTCACAAACACATAGTTACTTAGATACCTAGATGGGCCGCCTACACTAGTTGTGCAGGCCCCAGCAAAACTTCCATTTTTTCGGAGTACTGTTGACTTCGCTATTGTGGTTCCCTGGAGTCGTGAAGTCAGCCAAACCAAAGTCTCCCTCAAGTCGTCACCACCACAGGCGGTCGCCGCCCTTGTGGATCAGTGAGAGATTTGCCACCATGCGACTAGTTTGATTTAAGGACGGTGGTAGATCCTGGTATTGGTTTACACTTAGCTAGGTCTCCTGACGGAAACGCCGGACTCCTTCTCAGTTTAGGAGACCCTGCTGGGTAGACGAATTCCCCGCTGTACATCGCAGCACAACGCCCAGGAACACCTTCCGGCCATAACGAAGCGGTAGATCATTGGGAGGTTACGAACACTTGTAAGTCATAATAACACACATCTTCCATAACTGTTATATTACCTAAACCGGACAGGATACAGAGTTTGACGTGACGATATTCAGTACCTCAATGAAGCTGTTTAAGGCCATACTGAATCATGCTGTTAATGTAAGCCAAGAACACATGTGTGCATTCATAGAAGTCTTACATCAAGCACCTTACTTCTTTCCAGTGAAAAGAAAAACGTAAAAAACGCATGGTTCACTGGAAAACCTGGTGTGACGTGATAAAATCGATTGAATTTCTGCAAACGACAATTTACTATACCAGTTCTACAACTAAGACAAATGGCTAAGATTAAAAGTAAAGGGAACGATACACTACCGCATCTGCCAACTGCTTTGAATAAAACAACAACGACTTGTCTAAAACATACCGAAAATAAGCGGTTTGTCGTCAAAGCTCTTCGGCTTCTCTGCAAACGATGATGGATTGCCATTGCTAGTTGAGGGCTGGAAAAACTCACAAAATGAAGTATTGTCTACCAGTACGTTATTAACAAAAAAACGACGTTGCAGAGATCTATCCATAAGGATATTTTTTCCATTGGAATCAAAAATCAGCTATTATTCACAAGTTCTTCATGACCAATTGTGAGAATAACAGGTAATCTATTTCCACCCCAACCCCTCCCCTCTGCCCCCACCTTGCCCCAAATACCATTGTTTGCTATGTGGTACCATAATGCTGATCTCCTTCATACTGATGGGAAGTGAACAAGACAAAAGGAGTACCTGAGTAGAAATGATAGCAGTTGGATCGAACATCTCGTTGACGATACCACCGTAAGTCGACGTGTTCGTTGCTGAGAGGATTCTTGGCTCGTCATCAGAGCGCATTGTCAACTGGAACAGAAAGCTATCACAGGAAGTAAAAACTACCAAGGATTACTAGCTCGGTGAGCTATGACATCATAAACAAAGAGAACTCCAACAACGTAGAGAAATCAAATACAAAATAAAGGTCATCTTTCTAGCAGTGTAGTGTCTCAATATCTCCAGTTGTCTCGATGCGTCATATCTGGATTTGTTCTCTACCGATGGAATATCGCCTCAAGAGGTTCGAGATCAAACACAGAACTCTAAGACCCCAGAAATGTCTACCACTAGTGGTGGCATGAGTATTCGCGTAAAGAATAAGTAAGAAGAAACCTTCCTTCAGCACTGCTCAACTTAGGTGTTGCAGTCTTGAAGCATCTAGTGCCTTTACCTTATTACCAATCGATAAGGATACCAATTTCCCTACTTTTTTCTTAAGGAGGGTGGAAGAAGTACGTAGTCTACACCTAGTCAAGGTATCAAACTAAATAGAAAGAAGTATTTTGCTCAAAAATGACAACAGACGGAAAGACGGAGCTGAACGACAGCCCAGCACTAAGGCCTTACTGACTCAGAAGACTGGCTACGTTGACTAATAGCCTTTAGGAGATAGAGGACGCACATTTACAACTGAACAAACATGTAAAATGGCAAAATAGACGCGAACTGTTCGACTTCCAAGTGTGTGGAAGTGTAATGAACAAGTTTGATGAGAATGTGGAGCGTCACTTCGTTCTAGCAATGCTTCGAAAAAGATCTTCTTTCGAAATCGATCGAAATGGACCTTGCCAGGTAATCGATGTGGGACTGAATAAGGAATAAGCCATTATTTATTTATGACAATAAGACTATAGAAGTACCGAAGGGCATACACTTTAAAGAAACAAAAAACTGTGCATACATACTTTACACAGACAACTACACTACTGAATTACAGTTGGGAAGAGTTCGCTTAACCATCCATAATGCCCAAATGGGGGAACGACTTCCAGCCACTGACAGCATCCGAGGGTGCTCTGCGCCGGTGCTAGGGACGCGTATCGATCTTTCGCTCTCCTGGAGTGCGTCCGGTTTTCCTCGATGTCCTTCCGACAATCGACCTCCTTCTTTGTTTGAACGACACACATCGATTCCACGTTATTCTTTACTAGTAAAGTTCAAATC